TGTTACTGATAGGAAGGGACATAACCAAAGCACATCACGTTTTAGACCAACGCATTGGATTGGGAAATCAACCCTATGCCCAAAAACTGTCCCTTGGTTGGACTATCATTGGTGAGACTTGTTTGGGAAAAACCCATAAACCAGATGTCATTAATGTCATGAAAACTTGTGTTCTACCTGATGGCCGTCCAACTCTGATGCTACCTTGCAACAGTAACTTACAGGTCAAAGAAAAAATCCTCAATGAAACCTCAACAAACATCATGTGTACAAAAACTGAAATTGGTGAAAGTGTTTTTCAGAGGACAGAGAATGATGAAAAGTTAGGACTTTCTATGGATGATCATGAGTTCTTAGACATCATGAATTTAGAATTTACAAAAGATCTTGATGGACATTGGCAAGCTCCACTTCCTTTTCGTAAGGACCGTCAAAGACTAGTAAACAACTATGATCAAGCTAGGAAGAGAGCAAAACAGTTAGATTACACTTTGCAGAAGGATCCTACAAAGAAAGAACATTTTGTGGAATTTATGGATGCATTGTTCAAGAATCATCATGCAGAAATAGCACCGCCTCTACAGAATGGAGAAGAGTGTTGGTACTTACCATTGTTTGGAGTTTACAACCCAAAGAAACCAAACAAAATTCGAGTTGTGTTTGATTCTTCAGCAAAATTTGAAGGAAAGTCGCTTAACGACGTACTACTTACCGGACCAGACTTGACAAACAGTCTTCTGGGTGTTTTACTACGGTTCCGCAGAGAGAAAGTCGCATTAATTGGAGATATTGAACAGATGTTTTATTGTTTTAAAGTCTGTGAACCTCATCGAAATTTCTTGCGATTTCTATGGCATGAAGACAACAATCCTGAAAAGAGACTGATCGAATACCGTATGACTGTTCACGTCTTCGGAAACAGTCCCTCGCCAGCCATCGCAACCTACGGATTACGCAAGACTGTGAAGGAAGTAGAAGATATGTTTGGGACAGATGTAATTCAGTATGTAGAACGTGATTTTTATGTGGATGATGGATTAACATCACAACCTACTGTAGAAAAAGCTGTGGACCTAATGAAAAGAACACAGAAAGCATTGAGTTATGGGAAATTACGTCTACACAAAATAGCTTCAAACAACCAGGAAGTTATGAACGCTTTTCCACCTAGTGATCTGTCAAGTGAAATGAAAGACTTGGATTTATCAAAAGACAATCTACCAACACAGCGCAGTCTAGGACTTAATTGGGACTTACAGTCAGATTCGTTTTTCTTTAAAATTTCAAATGATGTCAAACCATTCACAAGAAGAGGTGTGTTATCAACAATAAATAGTATATTTGACCCCCTAGGATTTCTCGCCCCAATTATCATCCAAGGCAAGTCACTTATGAGGAATCTACTTCAAGAAACGGTCAACTGGGATGAACCTTTACCAGAAAATCAGTCTACTCAGTGGGAAAAATGGAAAAATTCCTTACAACATCTCCAAAATCTACACATCCCAAGAGTTTACATAGAACTGACTCAGTCGTGGAGTGAGACAATGAACAAAACAATTCACATTTTTTGTGATGCTTCAGAATCAGCAATATCAGCAGTGGCCTATGTAGAATCACAAGGAAACTTTGGATTTATCCTCGGCAAATCAAAACTTGCGCCCTTAAAAGGACATTCGATACCACGTTTAGAACTTTGTGGCGCTGTGCTTGCTGTGGAAATTGCTAAGTGTGTATCAGAACAGCTAGAATTACCGATTGAACATTTTAAGTTTTACTGTGATAGTAAAGTAGTGTTGGGATATATTTTCAACAATTCAAGGAGATTCTATCAGTATGTGGCAAACAGAGTGATGCAAATTCGTAAAGTGACCAAACCAGATCAGTGGTCATACATATCAACAGACAAAAATCCAGCTGATCAAGCAACAAGACAGATACCAGTTAAAGCTCTACAAAACAGTACTTGGCTCTTAGGACCATCACCTGCACACTTACAACAGATTCAGCACCCATGCGTATCTTATGAGATGGTGGACCCAGATTCAGACAGGGAAGTCAGACAAGAAATCACTTGTCTAAAGGTTGACATCTCTAGACTTGGACTGAAATCAGAAAGATTCTCATGTTTTTCGCAATGGAGGAAACTTGTTGAAACTATTGCCAGACTTCAGCATATAGCACATTCCTTTCAACAAGGAGACAGTAAATGCTCTGGGTGGCATGTGTGTGAAGATTCAAGAACTGTGGAAAATTTCAACAAAGCTGAGAAACTTATCATCAAAATTGTGCAGAATGAAGTGTATTTAGAAGAAATTCAGTGCATATTGAAAGAAAAACCTCTACCTAGAGATAGTAACATTTTACCTCTTTCGCCATTCTTGGATAAAGATGGAATACTGAGAGTCGGAGGACGTCTCAACAAAAGTTCTTTACCAATCAATGAGAAAAATCCAGTGATAATACCCAGAAACCATCATATAGCGTTGTTGATTGTTCGTGACTATCATGAACTCTGTAAACATCAAGGTCGCCACTTAACAGCAGGAGCGATTCGTAGTGCTGGATTCTGGATAATAGGAGCCAGAAAATTAGTTTCATCCATACTTCACAACTGTGTCAAATGCAGAAAATTACGTGGAAAGCTATTGTGTCAAAAAATGTCGGACCTTCCTACCGATCGTTTGGAGCCTAGTCCACCATTTACTTACATTGGCCTGGATACGTTTGGACCATGGGAGATAGTTACTCGTCGGACGCGTGGAGGATCTGCAAACTCGAAAAGATGGGCAATCTTATTTACCTGCCTTACAACGAGAGGAATTCACATTGAAGTTGTGGAGGAGTTAAGCTCTTCATCATTTATCAATGCCTTTAAGCGGTTTGAAGCCATTCGAGGAAAAGTTACCCAAATTCGTTCAGATCAAGGAACCAATTTCGTGGGTGCTATAAATGACCTGAAAATTGATTCAACTGGACTCAACTTGGAAGACGGTAAAATCAAAAACTTCCTTTATGAGTGTGGAACTACTTGGAAGTTTAATCCACCCCACTCTTCGCATATGGGTGGCGCATGGGAACGCCTCATTGGAGTAGTAAGACGTGTGATTGATGCAGTTATGTTGGAGATACCAGCTAGATCACTAACTCATGAAACACTGACGACATTTATGGCAGAAGTTTCAGCAATCGTAAATGCCAGACCATTAGTCCCCTTATCGGAAGATGCAGATGAACCGTACCCTCTGAGCCCTTCCATGATACTTACCCAGAAAACTCCTGTGATCGTCGACCTTCCTGTTGACAAGATGAACATGTATCAAGCTCAGTGGAAACGCGTACAGCATATGGCAGATTTATTCTGGACACGCTGGAGAAAAGAGTATCTTTATACTTTACAGATTCGTCGTAAGTGGACGCGTAGTGAAAGAAACATTACACAAGGTGATATTGTGTTACTTCGCGATAAAGATGTTCATCGTAACCTTTGGCCTATGGGTGTCATTGTGAAAGTGTTTCCCAGTGATGACGGGAAAGTTCGTAAAGCTGAAATTCGTGTCGCGAAACGCGGTTGCCAGTCGTCAACATTCATTCGTCCAGTTACAGAGATGGTGCTGCTACTATCCAATGACATTGATGTATAGCTTGTAATTGTATATGTGATGTTAGAAACATCAGACGGGGAGTGTGCTGTCACAGTTCTTATTTTTTATTTATTTTTGTTTGCTTTTTTGTGTAATTATACGGAGTGAAATATGTGTATTATTCAGATATCAGAAAGAGTTATCCTTCTTTGTAAATTTTTGAATTATCTTCCTTGAGTGGAAATCTTTTGTGTCAGGAGTTATCTCCCTCATTTTCTCGTGCAAGTTTTCATTCAGTCTGCCATTAGAGTTCCATCCATGAGGATGTACATGTAACATTCTACCTTCTTACGATTTGTGGCCTATTACCATGTAAGTTTTTATAGGAAACTTTTGTAACTTCATACCTATTATTTGTAAAGTTTTTTGGTGATTATTTATAGAGTTTTTGTGTATTGAAAACTTATTCAGACCGGTATTTTTTGTAAAGTTTAAAGTCACTGAAGTCACGAGAATTAGTTATTGTTATTCAATTTATCTAATATGCTTTATAGTAATTTGTTATTATGATAAGGTTTATAAGTGAGCTATTTCTATGGAACACCGTTATTGTCTTTTTGGTATATCAGTATTATAGTATTTGATTTTGTTTATTTCAGTTATTTACCTCATTCGCTCACTCGCTCATTCGCTTACTCGCTCGTGTAGACTCACTCAGGCTCACTCACATAGGCTCACTTTGTCTCACTCACCTAGGCTCATTCGCTCATTCACTGATTGGAATATGAATTCGCTTGTTAATAAATATGGAACCAGTTACCATGTGTTCTTCAATGATCAAGTATGAGGTGTGAGGTGTGAGGTTTAGCTAGCTGTTCCAGACAGCATACCCTTTATAAATTATGAGATACACAATACATTTACTTCCATAAAGTGAATCTGTAAAAATATATATGTTTTTCATATTTAATATATAAAGTTGCTTATCATTTACTTTCGAAAAAACGACAGGTCCCTTTTTTTAGAACATCAAATTTTACTTATCGCATAAAAACGGAAAAAATGTACTTTACACAGCTCGTGTTTTATATTCTTAAAGTGAAAGACATTTTTGAAAGTAGGTGATGCATGTGTCTGGTTTCAAATTATATTTTATACAGCCAACATTTACTTGAGGAATTGATGAAGTTTAAAAGGGTATCGTTTTTGTTCGATTTTCATCCTACTATAAGTTTTCAAAATATTCTCGACTATCGTCTCCATCATTTAGACGCATGCCTTTTTCACACATATCGAAGCGGTTTGATGATCAAGACTCATTTCCATTGTTTACTTTATTTCCCGGGCGACAATTGATGGTTACATCAATGTTTTCTTGTCCTTTTTTGGTTTGTACATCTCACAAAACAAGCTATATCAAATTCCATATACTTTATTTACTACAAGATACATTCTGTGATAGTTGTACAGAGTAAAACGGACCAAAGGAAGCCATATAAATCTTTCATTTTCTAATTAAAAGCGGTTGATTAAAACACCCGAACTGGAGGACCTCTTCTTACGTTTCTACCTGTTACAATTCCGGATAACGTTCGTTGTGGTGAGCGCCGGAAGTTAATGCGCCTGATAAATGGAATTCGTATATTTTGCGCATTTCCCGGAACAGGGGTTCCCCGTCTTCCGAGCATTTGCAAATACCTAGCAGACAGAATTCTAAGCCGTCTGAGGAGGTACATTTCTCTGGCCTGCATTCTGGACAGTTCTTGTCTCAGTTCTTCATATGATGGCTGATCGGAGTCCAATGGGCGAGGAATTGAAGGGGGGCCTGCAACGGAAGTTTGAGCTGATCTTTCAAGATTAGGGTCTCCTCTGTTCAAACCTAGAGTTGGATCTGCTGCTTCCGTATTAAGTTCCATAGGGTTAAATTCATTTTGTTGTGCCGATATGGTGTTGTCAATTTGTTTTTGAGCGTTATTATGATCTACTTCCGCTTTGCTGAGGATTGCATCACCAAAATCTATAGAGATAACCTACGGAAAGAAAGTGTTCAGATTTTATAGAAAAAAATTAATAAAAGAAAAGACAAAGCTAAAATTTGGAAGAAGCAAAGTACATGAAGACAGGGATTTGTGATTTCAACTGTTAGTACACATTGAATATATTGAAAAAAAAATTCATTTCACTTCGAAATTACGAACTTAATGATACTTTTTATGTCTACATGCTTGCTAAAATGATATTGCCAGTTTATAATTAATATTATTGTTTCAATATGATTGTATGTACAAAATCGAAGAGAAATATTTTATCCGCTAGTTAAAATGTTACTTTAAAAAATCTCAATGACAATCAATATTTCAATTATTATACATGTATGATAGATGTAAATAAGAACAATGCATTCAACGAATGGATTATCATTTCTCTTCGTATTCAGAATAAATATTCAACCTCCTCTTTTCCGGTCTCTGGGTCCGTAATTGTTTTCATGATGGATGCACTTCCGCCTTGTGAATAGTTTTCCAGCATTTGTTGGACGTCCTCAACTGTAATGTTATAACTCATCATAATCTCCTTCAAAGCGTAGTCAAACACAACCTGTGTATGAGTTAATGAATTTAAAGTCAAAACAATCTGAGTACGAGTTAATGAATCAGAATTAACTCAAACACAACCTAGGTATGGAATAATGAATTCCAAATCAAAAATGCAATTTGTGTGCTTGTCAAACAAAACCCGTGGATGGATAAATGAATTAGAAGTAAAAAATAACGTTAGGTTAATCTGTGTGAAAATTACTGAATTGGAAGTAAGAAGAATTGTTGACGAATCAGAAGTCAAACAAAGCATGTGTATGAATTAGGTCAAATACGTACAATTGTATTCAAATTAATGAATTCCAAGTAAAATGAAAGTAGAACGAAAAGCACAATGCAACCTCTTAATGAATTAATTTGAATTAAAAACGTATTGTTTCTTTGACAGCAAAGGTGACAATAAAAGACATCGTAAGCCCCCCCCCCCCTCTCTCTCAAATACATATTGCAGTAACACTCGCTTATAAGGAACTCGGATATAAAGGAATCTCGGTTAACTATATGAAAGTTACATCTTTTTCCCAAACCACATACCATATCACTTTCAAACACGAAAAACAGAATTTTGGATGTAAAGAACTACAAGTTAAGGGAATTTACGATTCCTTGCTTAAAGACAAATATGGTTGGTGGATGTGATAAATAATGCAGATAGTGATAGATTGATCTTGATTTTTTACTTTTTGGCCTTAAAATTAAAAAAAAATGTTTTTACTTCATTTAGAGGTCTTCATTACCTTATGTTTAATTGCAATAACACAGAGATATTTCAAGATATCTCATATAAACCACTTAATATGAATTTTTGACCTTGAGCTTTGACTTTTTGACCTCAAAAAAAAATATCGACGGTTTTCTTATGTCAAAGAAATTTCACTGCAAAATGTTAAGGAGAACTAAAACCTCCAACTGTAAACAATTTTATGCAAGATATAAATTTCTGTGGCCCGTTAAGTTTTTGGTCTTAGTCGTAAGTTCTTTTGTAAAACAGGCACCTGAACTTCTTCTTTTGACCTCAAAATTAATGGAAGTCTTTTTAAGTCACGGAGAGCTAAGATGTGAAATTTCATTGCAAAAGCTGAACGAGTTTTAGATATCGTCCGGAAACTAAAGTGTTACTTATACATGCAGAATGACAGAAGAGCAGATAGACAAACTCAAGTTAATATATTCCGCTTTCAGCAAAAGCTAGGGACAACAATTTCCAAACCCCGGAACTTCCTAGTAAGCACTCTTTTCTGTATATGCATTGTTTGTTCTGATATTAGATATAAACACTGAAGGTAAGACATAGCACCTGAAAGGTAACACACCTGAAAATCCCCTACAGTTAATGTTCCATCATTAGACAGACCACTGGACACCTCTTGTTGTTGATCTTGTTGTTGACTTTGAGTCTCAGCTATTGTGCCATTTTTTGTTGATTCCAGCTCCTGTCTTTTGAAGTCATCCGACGTTGGTGTTTGGCCATGAACAGTGTTAGCCAAACATAAAATGGCTGTCAATACTAGCAAGCATCCCATCCTGGTAAAGGATGAAAGAAAATATCTTATGTCTAGCGGACAACATTCCGGGTATAATCCAACGGAGGGATAACCATATACACCCAAAACAGGAATTTAGAAGAAATTTTTATGTATTTTTATCTCATTCAGGAATAAGACATTTTTTGTAGATGTCTATCGAATTGAACTATTGAACAATTTCTCTTGAAATTAATCTATAATGTCACCGTTGAAGAGCTCTATGGTAACCTTGGACTACTTACATGTACATGTATTAATAACAATTTAGTAATTTTGACGTATATTTCGATGACTGTAATTTCCAACTCAAAGCGAAAAAGTATTTTCAAGAGATGTTATTTGATGTTTAAACTTTACAGAAATTGTAAAAAGAAATATTTATCACAATAAAATTGAGAAAGTTAAAAAAAAATTACAACCCAACCTGAGTGCGAAGATGAATTCCCCAAATGAATTGCTAAAACAATTAGTCGCCAAATAAAAATTTCAAGTTTATGTATCGGTCTTTGTGAGAACCTCCATCATTCTTTATCGATCAATTTGTCCTTCCCTGCCATCATTAGAATTGTTTTTGTCCTCTAATTTATTACATTCGAATAATGGTCATTTCAGGATCTTTGTAATTAATCAAAAAAAGTTTAAAGACGTAATTCTAAAGACAATTATATAAGTCCGTTTACAAACAAGACTGCATGGATCACAGTCAAATACACTCTGGTTAAGAATGGGAATTTATTTAAGCAGATTAAAGAATATGTATTTGTGAAATAATATATATTCCAATTTATGCTCATGGTTTTTTTTTTTTCAGATTAAAATCATGCTCATTGCATCTGTTAAATATAAGACTTGTACGTAGGTACATTACCACTAGACCCCCTCGTAACTTTTAGGGGACCAACAGTATTCTATTTATACTGCTTTTGTCCAGACAAGAGGATCCTTTATTATTAATTTTTTCGTATATCAAAAACAACTTTCTGTTTTCATAATTCAATTCAATTATTTATTCGTGATTGAATACCCCCCCCCCCCATTTGCATATATTTATAAACTTTCTATAGACTGCTTATATTGCTGTTTCTTATATACAATGTATATTATTATAATATTACTGGAAAACCATTTAACCTCCAAAAAATTTTCAATTGATAAATGTATTGCGTTGTCATGTGCTTTCAGATATGATTTATTAATTAGTCTTTTTTGAAAATTAATTTTTCATGTGATGTTGTAATTTCACAATACTCTGTGTAGCGTAATTTTCGCCTCCTTGTAATTTAAGTCCTTTTTACAACTGCAAAATATTTTGCCCCTTTTTAAGTTTGTGTTTAAAAGAAAACTGTTTCCTTTGAATTCATCCCCTTTCCTAATTTTTTTCATTTTATAATATCCAAGTTAAGTCTGTATAGAGGCAAGAAGTTGTCGGACTTGTAATGCTCTTGAGTAAACCAGACCCGTGGGAAGCAATTTTAGTTTGGGAGGAGGGCACACCAGCCATTTTCAATGTTGGGGGGGGGGGGCACTACCAAGCAAACTTTCCTTGACAGGCAAATAAAAAGTCACCAGACATATTTATTGAGGGGCGGATCAACATAGTAGCTTTGATTTCTATATGTACTATATATCGGCTAAATTATTGGGGGCGGGGGGGGGGGGGGTAGGAGGAGGGCTGCACCCCTTTTCCCCCGGTTTGCTACGGCAAAGTAAACGTGAAGCTCATTATGAGACTGACTAAAATCGGCATAAAGAGAAATAATATCCATTGTAAAGGATAGTATGAAGATCCATGATGGTTTTAGAATTAAATCTGATATTCGGGCATATGGTTTCCAAATATGATCTAGTCTTTTTTTTCAAATTCATTCTCGTATTTACACGTACACAATTTCTTGCTTGAGTTCTGATAGAAACACTTGAAAGTCACTTTATTTCTTCGCCCCCATTTTTTGTTTTGTTGCTCCTGTATGTATAAACCTACTTATTTCAGTGGTGCTTCAAATACCACTGGAAAATTTTCCCGTAAACTGTATGTCACAGTAAGTTCTGTCAAATACTTGCGCCATCTTACAGGCAATTTAACCGTTGGAACCAGTGGACCAATGAAAATGAAACTTGCCACAAACCATTTAGGGTCAGGAGAAGTAGATTTAAAGGGGTATGCCCATTTCTCTTGGGTATTTGAATAAGAAATATTTCCACCTCAAGAATCACTTATCCCGAAAGAAAAAAAATATGTGAAAGCTTCCAAGATGTGTAAAAATTCAGGTTTAAATCACATATACCCGAATCCTCCCCTACTCCCCCTCCAACCCCCGAGTATGGTGGGGCGATAGTTGAGGAGTTGTCTTACAATGGATTATGAAGAAAACAATCTCTGAATCTTCTCAGGAAACAGATAGGGGCATAATAAAGTCATATTAATATGGAAGCACTCTCAGGTATTGTTGTTTCAAACATGCATAACAAGACCCCATGGGTAAGGGTAAGGTTATTTTTTTTAAGGAATACATGGGAGAAAATCTTTTCCCTGAACAATAGGGCCAAGGTGACTCGGGTACCCGTTAATGGTCTTTGGCCCCTTTTATGTGTGTTTGAGGCATCATATTTTTATACTTATGAAAAATAAATATAAAAATGATTCATCAATTACCCATATCAATAAATCTGAATCAAACTTGTATCTATATATGATAAAAATAGTTATATAAAAGAGTTATGAAAGTTATGAAAAATAAAACTTTATCAATAAACATGTAAAAGTCAATCTTAAAGTAAGGCTATTTTACCTAGAAAATAGTTATGGGGTCATTTTAAGTCCCCATCCTAGATGACATTCAGAACAATTCAACAGAAATCAATCAAACCCTCTGATAATGCCCTTTTTGCAAGTAAACGTAAAAGTCAAGGAAAATCAGGAACTTGATCCGCTTAAATGCATGTCAGCCAACAAGACTTTGCCAGTGTTATCATTTTATGTCAAACATATTTTAGGCTTTTAAATCAAAGATAAAGTTCCTTGTACAGAATATTTCAGTAGAAGTAGAAAGTACCTAAGATCTTTTTATTTTGTATCAATATTGAAGCACATTTTGCTGTAGATATCAAAGTCACTCGTATATGTCAAATTTACATACTTTATCCTCTGATACAAGCACAGGCCATTAGATCGCTTTAAAAAAATTAAGGTGTTAAAAAAAAATAAAGGTATGGGACTCCTTTCATAGGGTACCCACATTCGCCAGTAAAAAAAAACTTTTAAATCAAATGATCTGAACTTTACTTTCTATTCATAACTATTCACATATAAATAATCTACGTTACTATCGAAGTTCATTCCGAAATTCCGTATACTTCCCGAGATATGCTGAAATCATATTCCAAAATCGACCTTATTGTAAAGCGGGAACGACGGGACGAATTCTTCCCGGAATTTATTCTATACTCTCTGAATATTTGGTTTTTAGCACTCAGTCTACAATTTTATCTCTATAGAGCATTCGATTTAAAAGTATTTTATTAGTGAAAGTGGGTACCCTACGTAAGGAGTTCCATACCTTGATCTTTTTTATACACCCCAATTTTTTAAAGTCGGATTTAAGCGATCCTAAGGCTTGTGGATACAAGACATAGGTTGCCTTTTTGGTTTCAAAGATTTAAAATTTTGAACAAGTTTTGAAAATGAGAAAAATTGCTTTTAAAACTCTGAAATCATGCAAAATTAAAATCATTTTGTTACAAAAAAATTAAAAAAAAAAAACAAAAAAACTATACATGACATACTTTTGTATGAATCATAACCTTTGGATAATAATCCTATAAAATACATATATTATATTAACAGCTTCTTTAGTAGATAGTTTTACCAAATTGTTTTAAAATTAAACACATATTTATTAATTCTTTGCATATTTTTGCTCAAAAATTCACAGATTTTATTTTCATGTCCAGTAATTATGAGTTTTACTGACTGGGACCTTACATGTACATGATCTTCTTTATTTTGAATTTTCACTGAAGTACAATTGTTATTATTTATGTTCAACTGAATTTATTTTTTTTTTATTACACAGTTTTTTTTTAATATAGATAAGCAATGTCATAAGGATGAGTCTTGAAAATTGTATATACTTGAAATCTGAATAATTGTTTGTTGTTTGTTGTCTGGATAAGTGTTAGTTGTCTGGATAATTGTTCGTTTTCTGGACAATTGTTTGTTGTCTTGATATTGTTTATTGTCATGATAATTACTTGTTGTCTGGATAATTATTTCTTGTCTGGATAATTGTTCGACATCTATATAGGTCTGTTTTCCGGATAATTTTTGTTGCCTGCATAATTGTAAAATCACATGATTCGCCTTCTTGGAATCATACTCATGTTTCCCCCGGTCACACTTCCGGTTAACATTCGTCGGTTAGTACGCTGGAGTGGGCGATTAAAATTTATCTGCCTTCTGATTGGCTGTCGTCTTATTAGTGTATTTCTGGTAACAGGAAAGCCACGCCTTCCAGACAAGGTAGAAAATCTACCAGATAATATTCTTAGTTGCCTGAGTAAGTACAGTTCTCTGGCTCTCTTTCTTAGAACCTCTTGTCTTAGTGCTTCATAAGAAGGCTCAGTGCCTCCGACGACACCGGAAGTAGTTGAGGGACGTCCAGCAGGAGACTGATCGGATCCGGATCTGGGTTGCTTATCTCTGGGTAATTTAGGTGTGTCAGGCATACTCCTAAGTATTTCTGCTAAAATTTTATTTTGTTCCTCCATAACTTGTATTTCTCTCTCCAAATCTGACGTCGGCTCCCTGTTATCAATATTTCGGTTCAATGTTTGTCTTCTTCTTTCTTCCATTGTTAACCGCTCTATCTCCTTTAGGATTGTTCTAAGCTCTCTTTCGGTCTTTCGGCGCTCTTTTCTGTTTTCTATGGCGTTTTGATTTCTAGTAAGTAATGATATATGTCCTGCAGAAAAAAAGAAAACCTCGATTGTTATGCAAATTAGGCTTTTTGGTATGCATGTAAAATCTTTTTATCAGTAACATTTATATATTTTTATTTTAAAAACAAAAAACGAGGGAGAGTGAGAGAGACTTGTTTTTAATTTATATTTTCGATATGTTGAAGAGCCAACAGTTTTTTTTTTCTTTTTCACAGTTGCCGAGGAGTAGATGTAGCTAGAAGTACATGTAATAATCAGGCGAAAATGGACAAATTCTGGACCAAAGAGCAGTAGATTGGCTGACTTAAGTTAAATACGAGCGAAACTGATTAAAAATGCATGTTTGTGTTGCATTTCTTATTCGCAGTTCATAATCTAAATATTGTTTATTAATTTATAAAATATATAATTAAACAAAATATTATTAAAATAAAAATAAGATAATTTGACAAATACATGTAAACTATTCTAAACAATATCATTTGCTGAATATAAAATTCATAATGTAATATACTAAAGTGATATATATAGAATGTTTAGGTTCTTGGTGATTATTTAATAGAAAGTTTTTAGGAAAACTTACTTAAAATTTGGAGCAACTACCACAGGTAGGAATCTGATACATACATACATACATACATATATATATATATATATATATATATATATATATATATATATATATATATATATATATATATATATATATATATATATATATATATATATTCTAAATGATGGTAGTGACATGTTTACATGTACCTTGACGATATGCAATGTTCAAAGCTGGTAATTGTGCGTCCAGATCTTTAATCCGCTCTCGTAGGTATGCCTCCGCTCCTCTAAGATCCGCCAATGTGTTTCTGAGTAGGTTTTCTTTAGTTGTCTGACTATCGGGTGTTTGTCCAGGAGGTGGGATCTCTGTAGGAGGTACCGTAGAGTCTGAGATTCCATCTTTTCTAGGACTTGTAAACTGCTCAAAGTCGAGGGTTATTATCTGTTGAATGAAAGTTTTTTATTTGTTAGCAAACGGCAAAGTAATAGATAAAACATATGGTATAAAAGTTTAAATTCTTTTCATCTTATGGATAATAGATTCTGACTTTCCTCATCTATTTGTTTCATGTGGGAAATAAAAGAAGTTGAAGATAAAAATAATTCGAGACATATACATGTACAAAAATGTATACTGTGAACCAGTATTTTGCGACAAGTTTTTGTAGCCATTTGTCAGTTTAAAAATCAATCCACGACTTTTATAATTTTTGTAACTAAGGAATTACTCTTCGTCATACATAAAGAAATAAATGATTCACTGCAAGAAAAGAATCGAGCAAAAAAAGTTAATTTCTCTGAAGCGGAAAAACAGACAGAAAATTTCTGTTACCTCTTGAAGTCCTGTATCCGGATTCATTCTTGTCCTGGTTATTTCTGCATTACCTCCCTTTGCATATACCTCTAGCATACGGCGTATGTCTTCCACAGTAATATTGTACTCATCCATAATAGCCCTCAACTCATCATTATAAACCACCTGTAAAGTTGAAAATTTAAAAATAAGAAGATAAATATTTTAATAAATTCTTAAAAAAAAAACTCCAGTAGTTGCATTAAGCTACCCCAGAAGACTATAGGAAACTCTGATGATACCGAAAATGTTAGTAGATATTTCACAGACAGTTGTTATAAACTGTCAGATCAGATAACTGCATTTACTTAATCAACTATAAAGGGTGTATAAACCAATATCTATAATACTTAATATTGATTATCAAAGGCTCTGTTTCGTTAGCTTAAATGCCGGGAAGAAAATGAATATCACAAACATTATGTATTGTACCTCATACTGCCCAACTAGTGAGCTAGCTGCGATGCGACCAGCCTGTATGGCCCCAAAATGGGTGATCCCTTTAAGTTATACTTAATTTCAAATGAAATCCGAGTTACTTTATCTTTTTTATGATGAATGACTTATTGACGAAAATAACTAAAACGTCCTAAATTGAACCCGGAATTTAATCTGTAATCTTCTTGCCGCTGAGAGATATACAGGTTGTAAGTCGGAAATTTACAGAGTCCGGGGTTTTTTTTAATATAAAACGGGCCATAACAATTTAAGACCATAGCAAAGTTGGACCATAAAAAAGGGTGGACTAACCTTCAAACATTAATAATTATAAAAAAGAACAATGATAAGATATTAAGGACAGATGATACAAACTAACTTTCTTTTCAAAAATCATAAAAAAACTGATAAATAAAGTCACGTTTATACAATTAAAATGAATAAGCCTATCGCCGGATTTTTATCCAAACATTTCGAGGGGAGACACACTCTCTCTTTACGACAACTCTGCATACTTGTAGGAGATTGGGGGAAATAATGTCTTACACACTACGTACACTCTACGAAAGGAAAACAGAGAAGTTTTAACTTGTACATGTAATTTGGACATTTTTCAATCTTTCTGCGACAGAAGTTCATTAAGGAAATTGGTGTCGTCATGCAACCTTTAATTGGCTTACTTATTCTAATCTAGACTATAAAATGAAACAATTATGGACTCTTTCGTTGGTGAAAATGGTTTGATATTCACCAGAAAAATATCAACCATATTCACAAACGGAAGAGTCCATAATTGTATAATCAATCAAGCATTCCATATTTTGTTTGTAACATCTCTCCTTAATATAAAAATTTAATCACTCAATGATATATTTTCAAAGTATTTAAATACTTATATGTTCAATAATATATTCTTAAATGAAATATTGTTATTGAGTATTGCATATTATTTTTAGTATCAAGATTTAGGATTTGAATGTGCTGATTGAAGATTATAATTGATAGATCATTTTAAAAACAATCACTTATTCTTACGGAAACGCGCCACAGACAAAGTTGACAGAAAACCCTTTGTTTTCAAAGATTTTCCGCTCAAGAATGAACTTCTTTTTGAGAGATAAATACGTGGAAAAAAATATGCAACAGTACTCATAAAATACGTGTACAACTATATAAGAACTGAACATTCATCCTTATATATATTTATTTCAGCATCCTTATATTCTTTTCCGTTTAGATTTTTTTACTTAGTTTTTTTTTTTTTTTTTTTTTTTTTTGGTTTGGTTTGTTTGTTTGTTAGGAGTTAAATTAACTTTTCAAAACCCGTACACCATCATGCAAATATACAGCAAATAATGATTTTGAATGCAATTTAATTCTGAATGCATATGAGGTAAATCTTTTTTAAAGTCCAAAATATCTGCATGTTAAATGAAAAATAAAAAATAAATTACTCATCTAACAATGTTTTCGGAACATTGTTTTAAAAAAATATTACTATTTGCAAGTATTACATTTTCAACTATAAAAAATGCATTGAACAGAATCGATATTTTACACATTGTGAAAATGACGACTACTTTGCTAAAAGGGTCAAAATATTAAAAAACAAACAAACAAACAAACAAAAAAATTTAAAAAAAAAAAAATAATAAGGAAAGAATGATAAACAAAAAAAATGTTCTGTAGTTGGGCTATAGGAATTATTTTACTTGTGAGACAGGATTTTTTTTTAAATTGATATTTTCCTCTTTTCCGAACTAAACCCTCTTTTCCGAACTAAACCCTGTCTATCTGTGAAATAAATTCTATATTATGTATTTCTGAGATTTTCATTTACAATAGATTATATAACTGTTAAAAGAATCATTAAAATTACCTGTAGTCCCCCGGCACTTATCGACTCTGTGTCACCACTCAAGATATTGGAGCCCTGTTCCTGCTGCTGTAGGTTTCGGGAGATCATGATGTCATTTGTTGAAGGCAATTGTTCTTGTCCGTAAACTGTGCTCGCGAAACCAAGCGATAAGACGAAAATAAACATGACATACATCCTGTAATGAAATAGTTTTTAAAATATTTCTTATATTAAAAAAAATTCCAGACCTATGTTAATTATAAGCAATACACAAAATCATGCTTTTCTTTGATCTTCCATTATTCCTGTATCTTGCTTGGCATATCCAACTTTTTCCCGCTAATATTAAAAAAAAAATGCATTATTTCTCCAGACATCATTTTAAGAAATTGTGGGGGTTTTAAATTTAAAAAAAGAATTTACAGAAGAATAAATGTATTAACTTCCATGAAATAATCAAAATTACAAAATTGCAGAAAAAAATTGACAGGACATAACTAAAACAAAAATCATGGAAAGAAAATATTGCGTACCTTAAAATCAAACCTCTTCTTTGATATAAATCCCTCTTATGAATAGCCTTCAACAAAGGACTGAAGTTCGATGTCTTTTTATTCGATCTTATTTCGTTCTGTTATCGATATCAATCAATATACATACCTCAAAGGCTTGGTTCACGCACTTATTCCTTTTTAACGTTTCATTAAGTCAGTGCAACTGTGCATCAGAGTAAAGGTCTGTTAAAGACATGTCTCATTCGTCAATGGAAATCAATTAATTCAATTGAATGAGAAGTATGTAATTTGCCTAAATAAAATGATTAAGATGCAGACAAAAAAGACCTGTTACTAAGAAATATAAAAATAAATAAACACTATTGTAAACAATAATAGCTTTCAATTGACTATAATAATGAATTGTTAATTGAAATTCCATATCATTTGCCAAAAGAAATAAAAGTACTAGTATCAAAAATTTCATATATTAGTTTATCAAAGTACCAAAGTCTTCATGTGGTTAAAGTTAGGAAAAAGATGAATGTGTGGATGATAATTATTTACTTTAAACATACTAGATAAAATCCCGCGCAAGCGCGGGGAATTGAATTTATAGCACTACCGACAGAAAATATATTGTAGTTTCTACTGACAGCCTACAGGCTTATATCAGGAAGAAATACTTTGTTCAAAATCCCGCATGAAGTAGATGTACGTCTCCACCCCCACCCCAGCCCCCTTTTTTTTAAAAAATTTGAAAAAAATAACAATTTCATTAATTGACGTTTATTGGGAAACCTGTTATACTATGTTTTCGATATTGTACTTCAGATGTCCCTTTTTCATTTTCGTCAAGGTTTACCATTATGCACATTTTACTGATGAGTTGATTTTTTTTTTTTGGGGGGGGGGGGGAGTTAAAATTTCACAGGTACTTGGGTCTTGGTTTATAAATATGTGTGTACCTTATTGATGTGTAAAAGATGTACTTTACTTTTTTTTTTTTTTTAGATATCAATAAGGTACATACATGTACATATTTATAAACCAAGACCCAAGTACTTGTGTAAAAATTAGCATTTAACCCATATGAATAGGCCGAGTATTTGATACAAAAGACTGTATTCAGAAAAAAAACTGAAATGTATTGATCAAAGCACAAAATTTTACAACTTTAATTGTATTTGAACAATACCTTATTCATTAATAATCTCTTTTCATGTAAGCAAGTTTATTACGAAGTACAAATTGTACTACGATGCTCTCAGTAAGGAATATATATACAAATTTTACCGATAAATTTATTAGGAAAACCTACTACATATATGTAATAGTCTTTTGATATATAAATATGCTCACAACTTTTAGTGTTATCAATGATTTACCATTATTTGAATGACCATTTACACGAAAACTGTTTTTAATGTTCATGCAGCTACAATTTTTTTTCATTTTAACATCGGGCTCGATGCTATATCATGTTCTAGAAGCTTCCGTCAATATTAAGATCGATGAATGACGAAAATAATTTGCAAATTTTCCTTTTTAATCGGTTATCACAACTTATTTCTTTTATATTAATCAAATCAAGTTTTGAGTTAATAATTCAGTGATGACGTTTTATGAAATAAATAAACAATTGCTTGTTGTCAGTTTCATTAAAAATTGCCAGTAACTTAGATCCGCCAACCGGAAACGCCACCTTACTCACGATTTTGCTATTTCATGGTTGTTTATAGAAAATGAAAGTAGACTTTTAATTTAATGTACGATACTTACTATGCGAGTGAAATCTAAATATAGTTTACGGACATCATCTTGTATATAGTGTATTGTTAGAGGAGTAATTAAGAACTCTGGTGCACCCGCTCCGGAGTTTATTGGCAAAATTTATTAATTTATAAGTATAGATATTTTACTGAGTAATTCAATAAGGATTCGGCAACAGGCAAAGCCTATGCACACCCTCTCCTTGTATAATAGGTCAAGACACGGACATTGAGTACCGGTAATAATACTTGAACATGGTAATAAACTTGCTAATAATAGAAAATAAAGATTCACAATCAAGTATTATTCATCAGCATTATAAAAGAAAAGAGATGATAACCCCCTAAATGTATACAAATTATTTAAATACTGTTCCAGCTTTAATACAAATATTGTGAAATAAATATATAAACATTCAACAGAGTATTTCATATTACAGTGAATTCAAGTAAGTCTCTAAGAAGATTTTATAAATTCATGTATATATGAAAATATTTTACAGTTTGCTTGATAGGACTATTGACTTTTTCCTTAGGCTTTTTCCTTTTTCCAATTATTTAACAGATAATCCACGCTAGTTGTTGAGAGGAGTACAAATTGAACACTTCGTAATTTTAAGCCTAAACCTTTCTTTTGCAAGCATGTAATAAGATTGCACTGTTATTTAATTAAGAAGGTTCGATCCCCAGCTTTTGAGCAGATTTTGTCTGGACCTTAAGCAGGCTGGGGGGAAACGTAAATTCCGCTATAATAGTGGTATACCACTATTATAGTGAGATTCCGCTATATTTTCAGCCGTAGTTGTCCTCGATTTCATCAAATAACATACTTGCTGTTTAAAGCGCAAGTTATGATGGGAATAAAAATGAACAATAATTGGCATCCTTACATATTATGAATTTTATTTAATTTTCTGCCGATGCGTTTGATAATGCGAACACACTTTTTAAAGCGGAAGTTACATTTTTAACATAGCAACCAGTGATTGCGGTAGTATTGAACAAAGACTGACTCTTAATATCTCTCACACATGTGCACAAATCAGTGCTTGTAATAACTTTCAACTCATTTTGGAATAGGTTTGTCGAATTTATAGAAGAAAAGGTGATTTTTGCCTGCATGGTAACGGGTATGGAGGCCCGTTATGACAAATGAAAAAAAAGCTCAGTACATGTACATTTTAAAGGAACCGATTTGTGTCGTCTAAATTGTAATAAATATATATAATATGTCAATTTTCGAAGTAATCTTAAGTTTGTGTATAATGTTTCCTTTCTTGACGATGAATCCATGAATTTAAATGATTATTCTTAGCAAGAAAAGAAGAATTACACTTGTGCATGGAATTACCTGTAGACGTGACGTAAAATAAATTCTGCACGATTTATTGATTCTCTAACTTGCATGAAATTTTATATTTAACTACGATATACACTGGAAAAGAAACAATGGAATCCTATTTACCAGAAGTAGATTATTCTGTTGTAAATAAACGAAATACAAGGAGAAACAGAAATATGAAGATAACGAAAAAAGGCCATTTGAGCAATAATTTTTTTGCAGAGCGAATAGGTAGGATAAAGTGCTATGGAGGATTACGCATCCCTTGTCGAACATGGACTTTGCAAAATTCATTTATTAATAGTTATCATGAATTAGTGCATCGTTGTCTCGCCACAGCCGCTAAAATATTAAGCCCGCTTTTTTAACTACAAAGAAGCCATTATATGCACATTGAATTGTTTTCGCGTACGGTTATTTTTTCGTTTTTTTTCCTATCACGACAAGGAACACACTTGTCGGCTGGGGATGCTCACTCCTCCATGACACCTGATCCCATCTTTGATGTTTTTTAGAGGTTCGTGTTTGCTCTGTTTAAAATTTGCATTGTTTCAAAGGACTTTTGAGATCGATTACTGTTTGTTATCTTCATATTTCATACAGTATTTCAAGCAAATTGAAAAAAAAAATTGAACCCATTTAATTTATTTTGTCTTAAAGTGCAAAAAATTTGAGTGAATTACATTATATTTTTCTTACATCTGTTTATTTATTTTCTGTCAGAAAATGTACAAAATTAAGTGAAATCAATCATTGCATTTTCATCGATTTATTTATTGTGTTTTTTCTGTCTTAAGGTGTATTAAATTCTACAAAACACAGGTATATCTAAGTTGGGATGTAATTAACATAATTGTTATAAACACAATTGAACGTTCAACTCATTTTGCTACTTGCAAGCGGGAATAGGTGGATTTGTGATTTAAAAAAAAGGGTTGGGGAATAGGCGGAAGACCCTCTTAAAACCGAGACCCCTTGTTGTTCGTAATGTGTATCGAATCAATTAATAATTTAAGACATTAATCCCACATGCAGGTAATATGGTTTATTGCTACATAACAAGGGAAGTTGACGATAGAAAAAGTAGTTATCACATGTACCATGTAAGTTTAGTTATTAGTTTGTCATCAATCTCTTTCTCTAGTAAAATATTTAAGGAAAGAAGCATATTTGTTATACTCCCTGGTGTCTTTTATTAGTAATTTTCAACATACTTCTATTTTTGGAAACTGCAGATATATCATAACTAAATGAACATTTAATTAATTTATGTCTCGCCATTACGTGGTTTAATCATAATACATGTATTAAGCACCAATGTTTCTTCTGAGAAATTACGCCAAATATTCCCAACAAAAATCGCTCACACATATAATATTTGAAATAGTTTTTAAAAAGATTTTTCTTTTTTTAATTTTACTTTACTTGTCATAATACAAAAATTAATATTTCAAAAAATTTTGTTTAACATTCCGGAAACTAATGTCATATAATGTATATGTAATTACCTGCAGAAATGACATCTTATATCATTGTTCATGATTTATTGCAAAAACTAAACAAATCGGTTTCATCAGAATAAAGTAAACATGTAATGAGCTTTTTTTCGTTTGTCATAACGGGCCTCCGTACACGTCACCATGCAGGCAAAAATCATCTTTTCGTCTGTAAAATCGACAAACCTATTCCAAAATTGGTTGAAAGTTATTACAAGCACTAATTTGTGCACATGTGAGAGAGATATTAAGAGTCAGTCTTTGTTCAATATTACCGCAATCACTGGTTGCTATGTTAAAAATGTAACTTCCGCTTTAAAAAGTGTGTTCGCATTATCAAACGCATCGGCAGAAAATTAAATAAAATTCATAATATGTAAGGATGCCAATTATTGTTCATTTTTATTCCCATCATAACTTGCGCTTTAAACAGCAAGTATGTTATCTGATGAAATCGAGGACAACTACGGCTGAAAATATAGCGGAATCTCACTATAATAGTGGTATACCACTATTATAGCGGAATTTACGTTTCCCCCAACCTGTTAAGTCTGCAAATTCTGTATCGTATTTTAGTTTTAGCAATATATTAGGATTCTACAGTGCCAATTAAACCATATCAATTAAAAACATAAAATTAAATTTCATAAAAGATAATTTAGTTAGGAACTATATTTTGTGGCGGAGCTGGAGGGTTTTCTAGAAAAGAAATGATCAGTTGTTCTATTTCAATATATTTTCTGTATAGTTAAGTTCAGCTTCCTAAACTTCCATTCAGACTACAATATAAATTATCAGGTCACCTGAGTCACTCAGGTGACTTATTGCTATCTGTTTTCGTCCGTCGTCGTCCGTCGTGCGTCGTCCGTCGTCCATCGTCCATCGGTCGTAAACTTTTGAACATTTTCAGCTTCTTCTCTTGAACCACTGAACCAATTTCAACTAATTTTGCCATATAGCATCAATGGGTGAAGGAGTACAAAAATTGTGAATTTCATGGTCCCTGCCCCCCTGGGGCCTGAGGCGTGGGGCTAAAACCATCAAAATTAGTGCTATCTTTAAAAATCTTCTTCTTTACTCCTGGATATCAAGTAGTCAAACTGTTGGCATGATTGTAATAAGCATTTAGCCCTCTACCAAAATTGTGAAATTCATGGCCCCAGGGTCAGGGGTTCTGGTGCTAGGGCGGGGCTATATAGATCAAATAGTGAAAGTGCATTATTTCTTTGAAAATCTTCTTCTCTGCTCCTGGGGATTATTGAAACAAATTGAATACATAGTTATGATAAGCAAGAGTGACTCTGCCAAAATTGTGAAATTCATGGCCCCAGGGTCAGGGGTTCTGGTGCTAGGGCGGGGCTATATAGATCATATCGTGAAAGTGAATTATTTCTTTGAAAATCTTCTTCTCTGCTCTTGGGTATTATTTAAACAAATTAAATACATAGTTATGATCAGCAATAATAACTCTACCAAAATTGTGAAACTCATAGCCCCAGGGTCAGGGGTTCTGGTGCTAGGGCGGGGCTATATAGATCATATAGTGAGGGTGCATTATTTCTTTGAAAATCTTCTTCTCTACTCCTGGGTATTATTTAAACAAATAAAATACATAATTATGAGAAGCAAGGATGCCTCTTCCAAAATTAAGAATTTCATGGCCCCTGGATCAGGGGTTCTGGTGTGAGGGCGGAGCTCTAATTATTGTAGAGTGAAAATGCATTTATGTTTAAAAATCTTCTTCTCTGCTCCTGGGTATTATTTAAACAAACTAAGTACATTGTTATGATGAGCAAGGATGCCTCTTCCAAAATTGTGAAATTCATGGCCCAAGGATCAGGGGTTCTGGTGTTGGGGTGGCGCTATATAGATCCTATAGTGAAGGTGAATTATTTCTTTGATAATCTTCTTCTCTGCCCCTGGGTATTATTTTAACAAATTAAGTACATTGTTACGATACGCAAGGATGCCTCTTCAAAAATTGTAAATTTCATGGCCCCAGGTCAGGGGTTCTGGTGAAAAGGGGGGGGGGGCTCTATTGATTATATAGTGAAAAAGTAAAATTTCTTTGAAAATATTCTTTTCTGCTCCTGGTTAAAAAGCAAAGAAGCTAGGTGGATAGTTATGACGAGCAAGAGTGCTTCTTCCAGAATAGTGAATTGCATGACCCCTGGGTCAGATGTGCTGGTGTAAGGGTGGGGCTCTTGATAATATAATGAAAATGCATTAATTCTATTAAATAATCCTGTCTGCTCTAAGTGTTAAGCAGATAAACAAAGTGATTACTTCAATCTGATTAAAATCAGATCTTTGTTACGCTTCGAAATTCTGATGGTCGCTGTACAAAGATCTGAAGACATCCCATTGAGGGTCACCTCAGAATGAACTTTGAATAAAGTTCACGACCTTATACTAGCCAATGAAAATTTACGTCTTCCGCCAATCAATGATCGGGATATATAAGGGGTATGGTCATAGTGTAAACATGGCGAAATAAGAACGAAGTGGATGAAATGCAGATCGGTTCTTTGTATGAAATGAAATAGCGAGTTAATTATGTTTGAAGTACAAGCAGAAATGCAGAATTCTTCTTCCGATTGCAATTGGTAATGTGATGTCACTCTCTCAGATGTTGCAAGTCCATGGCGTATTCAAGACGGAGCACCGTGACAGTTGACAGGTCAACAAAATATTTTATCGAGGTAATGATAAAAGTCAATCAGAAAATCTCACACGAATTTTTTTAAATAACATAAATCGATCTACGGGCTTTACCTGTATCTAAGGGGTTGTCCGATGTCAAAGGCAGTCATAAGTGTAATGAACAGAAATTAATGCATTTTAAAAATAAAGTGAATGTTGACACAAGTGTACAAGTTGCATAAATTTCGAGTAGCACTTTCATAAAAAAAAAATCGGGTATTTTACACACATTAAATGAAGCATTAAAAAGAAAATATTATGATCAAAGTTTTTTCTGATTCAATTTCATCAATTATGATACTTGATTTATAGTTCAATCTTATTTTTAGGCCAAATAAAAAAATATGTGTGGTTCCGGTTACCTGTCCAAACAAATAAGGGTAGGTAGGTTTTTTTTTTTTTTTTTTTTTTTTTTTTTTTTTTTTTTTTTTTTTTTTTTTGATATAATAAACGTCAAAAATATCATTGAATTAACTATTGGTGATATTGGTGAGATAATACTATTGCTTCCTTTCAAGTGGTGAAATTTGTAACTGAGAAAACACTTGTACTACATGTTGAAACGGTGTTGTCAAAGAAGGACACCATTGCTGAAACTAAAACTAATACTGGAGCCAATGAGGGAAATCGGGGAAAATTCCGGAAATTTGAAAATTGTCAAAAAAAAAGTTTAGGGTCGGGGGTATAAAATAGGGACGGTCGGGTAACCGGAACCACACATATTTTTTTTATTTGGCCTTATAGTTTTTCTCTGATCTCACATGTATTCATTCTTTGTCTGGTGTGTATACATTACCACCATAAGCCTTTTTTTGCACCACTGTCCCAAAGGGCCTGTCAGTCAATAAAAATTGCAGCCCCCTTCCCAAAATATCTAACCCCCCCCCCCCCAGCCCATCAAAACATTTTTGAACTTTCATTGTTTAACATACACAACATGTCAGAGCTCTTTCTAATTAAACTTACGTACTTTGTTCAAAATTCTTTAAGATTTCCTGCAACACAGCTCCATCGAACAAATCCTTTCCACGTCACTTTCTAAAATAATCCCAACTTCCCAAGAAATTATCCCTTCCTGCAGCTTAAATTATTCACCGCTGTTTCTATTAATATTTACAGTTAAACAAACATGGCATAAAAGACACTAAAGATTTTATACTTATTTCTGATTACAAATAAAAATAGTTGTTGCTGTTGTTAATTGAAAATAATATTTGTAGCATCCATTTCAACCCCCATCATTTACTTGTTTTTCATTGTTTCAGGGAGCAGCGAAAATGATGACAGACTCTGGTTTTTCAAACTAAACCCATTAATATTCAAAACCATTTCTGGACTCGAAGATTATTCCTGTGTTCTCACATACCCAGGAAGACGATGAACAAGAAAGTTGTTATACTTGTATTGTACGCATCCCCCCCCCCCCCCATTTTAAGCTTGGTGGACTGTCAGGAGAACTATTGTCATACCAATCAAAGTGTATCTATAGACAGTAGTAAAACGTTAGACAGTAGTAAAAAGTTGAAGTTGTTTATTTTCAAGAAACTCCAATTTGTTCTAAAACAGACTTGCATCAATGAACATTCATTGTTTAGAATACATTCTACAATCATCAAACATGTCTAATGGAAACTAGAGAGACAAGTATGCAATATAAGAAAGTATACAATTTGCTTTTTCTTGAAATATATAATTGTAATAAAAAGTTCTATGAATTATGTTTATCATTACTTATTTATTATAAAATGCAGGACAATAATGGCTGCTGACACCAGTTTGATGATTTTTTTTTTCATTTTAATCAGAGACAGCTAATGAAAGCACATTCAAAATTTCAGGACAATGAGGGCATACATATTTTTTACTGCTTCAAAGTAAAGATCATTTTGTCTTTATATTCCTTTTTTTCATAGGAAGAAATGCCGTCTTTTCTGACTCAGCTTTTCTACTTTCGTCTTGAACCAGATCTAGACCACTGATACAGGAAATAGAGGATACTGTGTTTTCATTTCCCACACAATGGCAATGTATACAGTATTTTGGAGAGCAGAGGTTAACATGGCAGACTTTTCTCCACAAAAATAATGCACAGTGTCAGTCACCTAAAAAATATATACATTCTACATTATTTCAAGGAACATTCAGCATGTACAATGTATTTAAATTTGCGGGTTAATTTAGTAACATAACCTTACACTCAATTAGCATGATAATTAACTAAAAGTGTGGGTGTGATACAAATGCCCCACCAGCATCCATGTTTTAAATACTTAAATGTGCCTCAAGGATGTGAAAATAATGGATGGAGATGAGACAAAAATAGAATATATCATTTTGCTGCTTTTATTTTCTTGGGTCATTTCCTGACTTATAATTTACAGGGACATCATAAAACTATCATGACAGAATAGTGGTAACATAGTCACTGTGGAGGCTAAAAGAATACAAAGAGCTAGGTTCACTTTATTAATAAAATGGCCCTGTCCTTACATCAATTAAATGACTATCACCCTCTGTCCCATTTCATACATCAAAATAAAGTAGACTAGAGACTTAGTGCTTTCATTTCCTATAACAAAATTTCTTTTTGAGAATCCAGGTATTGGAAAACAATCTTTGAGAAAGTGCAATGTTCTTGAATTTTGCAGAAAACATACGTATTTGACTATCTTCAGCAAAGAATTAAAATATGAGCCCAGCCCACAATCCCAAAATTAAAACATGTTTTGTGATCTTCCAAAATAGATCTTTCATTATGTAATTATATTTTTCGGATCAAAGGCTGTGCTCTGTATGAAATATTGAAAAAAAAATACCTCAACTTTTGGCCATTTTTAAGGGAATTTACAGGATATGGGGAAAATGACACATTTTATGATGTCATAATGCATTGACTAGAAAGAAAATTACGTCATGTTCAATAAATACACGGTCACCAAGGGTCCAAGTTATAAATACAGCATTTTCAACCAAAACTGGGCAGTTTTGATTTTTCAGAAATTCTCAGGGCCAAAAAAGTGACTCTTGCTCTTTACTTAATATCTTGTCAATGAGTCAGATAAAAGTAAGGCCATTTTTTAAGTGTGTGTGTGTTTGTTTGAACTCCACAGAACAGGGGGGAAAACAAAATCAGGAGTTCTGAAATTGATTCTTTTGGTTGGAATGGCCTAATTGATATATCAATTTTAAGATTTTACAATTCATAAGTATGTGTATGTGAGAATTTATAGCATGTTATAGTATGTGCACCACAAACCTTCCCATCCTTGCAAAAAATCTTGCAGGCAGGGTGATTGACTCAGCTAATGTGTCACCTACAACATTAATAATAACAAACATGAATTAAACAAAAAATATTTAAGTTTAAAGTACTTTCTACTTGAATTTGTTAGGATGAGATTAATCAAAGACTGAGAATGGGGTAAGAATTACAAAAACAGAAGTAAACAAAAAAATAAAACGTTGCACATATATATATATATATATATATATATATATATATATATATATATATATATATATATATATATATATATATATATATATATATATATATATATATATATATTTGTCATCAAGTTTTTTTTCTTTAGGGTTGACTGTTGTGTCATTATAATAGGAAGTACGTGTATTTAATCATCAAGACAACTGAGATGATTTAAATGATGTAAATGCAAGCTTTAGTAGCTGTTTAGATCATTGTGTGAACTCTGTAGTCGTAACTCATACAAAACAAAAATCTCAACATTAAACTTACATTTCCATCGTAGATCTGACACTTGATTTGAAGTTTTCTCGCATTGTTTTTGAATCATGACCATCTCAAAGTTTCGGCAAATTTTCAGAGTCGGAGGGAAAACGCACACACATACACATTGCACATCTATTACAAACGTTCCAAAATAGAATTTTCCTTTCGGGTGTTAATTTAAGCTGTGTATAGGAAAAATCTTCCGTATGGTCACTTTTCCTTCACTGTTTATATTTGTTTGCATCCATATCGATCAATAAACAACGCAAATGTTGCTCAGATGAAAATTTTCAATGTCATGGGCGCCGCTATTGCGTATTTTCGGAACTCGTTTTCTTCGGAATGTTTCGCGTAAAGCACATCCAAAGAATCTGCCAGCGGCGTTTTCATTGGATAATCTAAAGTTCATTCTGAGGTGACCCTCAATGGGATGTCTTCAGATCTTTGTACAGCGACCATCAGAATTTCGGAGCGTAACAAAGATCTGATTTTAATCAGATTGGTGATTACTTATGCATATGATGGGCAAACTTCTGGTCCCAGGGTGAGAGGCTCTGGTGTTTCTCGCTGGGAAGGGGGGGGGGGGAGGGAGGGCTCTATTGATAATATAGTGAATCCGTAATAAAAATGCATTATTTCTTTAAATATCTTCTCTGCACCTTGGCATATCAGGGGCAAAAAGAGTAAAAGTTTTAATAAGGAAGAGTATTTTTACCAGATTTTTGAATATCTGGACCATTTCATCGATCCGATATTTAAACGAGATAAGATTTCTCAGCCAATCAAATAATTCGATTTATTCTGCCCGCATCTGTAACTTTCATGAGACGCCATTTTGCATCACAAACAGAATGCGGCGGAAATGTGATACGTGATTATTTTCAACGATGGTAAGAAGATGTGTGTGGGGCACTTGCAATTCAGAGGAAAGATATCCCGAAAGATTAATTGGAGTTCGATCAATTCCGTTTTCGCAGCCTAAAAAAGGATCAAGAAAAAGGTTTAAGATGGATCAAAGCATGTGGTCGTCCCCATCATCAACTAAATGTTAACACTATTGACGGAAATAGAAACAAAGTTGTGTGCAATAAAGTAAGTACATGTAAAATTCCTAATGCAGGTGATTGTGGCCTGTGCTGTGGTGTTATTTATATCAGAGACATTTATGTCTCTGTTTATATATTATACATATATATATATATATTATTTATTTATCATTTTCATGGAGGCTAAATATGCTAAACGTGATGACGAATTTTCTACCCCGATAGTACTACTAATATATGTAGCATATAGGTGCATATTTACTCAACGAGGGTGTCCATTTTACTTTAATTCAGCCAAGATTAGGGATGGATAAGGTTAATGCTGAGTTGCATATTTTAAATTAGTTTTAGCAAACGCTGTTTAATACAAGTACCCTTGATACTGTATACTGATAGCGTAATACACTTATTGTGAGGCATAGACTTTGATTAATGAGAAATAATCATCTCAAGAATCCACATGCATCATTTAAAATTGTTTATTTCAATATATTTTGTGTATTTCAACAGCACTTCATTGGGGAAAATGGACCAACTTAGTTATATCCAGATCCTATTCCTGCATCTGGAGGTACATGCACTCCAAGTCGTCCCTTACCAAAGAAACGGAGTGCATGTAAGTCTTCAAAACCAACACCAAAGAAAAAAAAAACAAAAACTGGAAGAAATATTTTTGGATAAGTATGAATATTTTTTATCCTTGCAAGCTTCATTATACCTATATGCTTTATAGAATTTTTCTAAGAGTAGGAAATTGATCAAATTATTTATCAGTTACATGAATAAACATTAAAATTATTAAAATTACTCAACATTCCACCTTTCATTAAAGAAGGAAAACAAATGACATCTGGAGAAATTAAAATGACCCAAAAAAAAATAGCCAAACATAGAATTCATATAGAGAGATTGATTGCCAAGATTAAGAAATTTTTAATTGTAAAGCATGACATACCAACTTCAATGTTTTCTAAGATTAATAAAATCTGATCTATCTGTTGTTTTTTAACACTTTTTCAGGATACTTTTGTTAAAGATAATCAATAAATCCTTTTGTTGTAATTTTTTATTGTTATTACATTGTATTTATTTTCTCTGTGAAATAGTCAGTGAAACTTGCATACTGGGGATTGAAAAGTATAGGGCTCTTTTAATTTTGATATGAAACTGTAACTTCCAAATTCACGAGAGTGTTTCTTATGAAACACATGGTACATGTAACAAGAAATGCTACAAATATCAATAGGTGGTAGCAGAAGGTTTTTTAATAACTTTCTTTGTCATCATCAATACACTGAAATACCTGATATGACAAAATGGAGCCAGTTTGAACTTCTCCAAAGTATGACTGTGATTTTGGTGCTTCTTTAGAAATCATATATTCCAGCGGCGTACCTTTTATGTTCATAAGCTTCTCTATGTCATCATTGTCTACTCGTGGAAGTCTTAAAAATAGTAAGAAAAAGAGGCTGGATAGGTCAGTGCGATAGTGTGTTAATAGTTCAGGGACCCATCAGAAATTAATACATAGAGAATATTACGATACTTGATATAACTAAGTTTATTATTTTTTTTATTTAATGTAGAGTCAAAATTTGAATTACTTGTAATTTTCGTCAAAATGGCAAATGACTGGTTTCCTCTTCCTTTTTTTCTTTGGGCCTGACAACAACAACATGGTTTAAGGGTACAGGTTTTATTTTGGTACCCCGGGGAACATGCCACTGTTGTGGTAAACTAGTGCAACTTTGGTGATCAGGTGCATTTTTGAAATTCTGCAGTTTTAAGCCTTGCAGCGTTTTAAGAAGTCCAACAATGTGTGAACAGAGACCATCGAGTCTGTAAGGAAAAGGAAGTCCTACTTTGAGGATATATAAATTGTTTTTCCTAATAAAGTGTATCATTATTTTAAATAAAATCCACAAGCTCTATAATGGTTTGCATTAACTAGCATAACGATGTGACAAATTAATTAAAGTGCATTCACTTAGTTATGACGATTATCAGCAACTATTGTGAATATTATTCCGCTATATTTTCAATTTGATTTATCAAATCGTTGTGGAAAAAACATACCCTGCTTTGCATTTGCAATATGATTCGGTCAAAGTTGATTTTTCGACATTTATTTCGATCTGCAGCGAATACGGCGGCTGTGACTTCCTCATGGATCGCCAGCATTTTGCATCAACTCGTATCCTATTTTCAGGCTTTGACACTCGGATATTATGAATATAACCTTGTGTGAAATAATTTAAACCCTTCTCTAACACTTTCCGTGATAAATCTTTACTTCAATCGAGATACGACACCGATATCGTATCTGGAACATCTACCACCGAATCTGTTGCCGAGGCTGAATCGCTCGCCATGTTGAAAGTTTGTGATGCAGGTCAAAGATGACGTAAGTGGGCGGGGCTTAAAGATAACTCTCGGATCGATGATTTGGTCAAGTGTTCTGGTCCTGGCATATATTAATTTGTATTCTACTGAGAGGAGTTATTCCCCTTTGCCATTTACTTTTGTTAATTAATCACTGTAAATAATGTACTTAAAAGGTTATTAGAATAAGAAAATTATGCAAGAATTTTTATTGTATAATACAAAAAGTACTTTCGTAGTTTTAATGATCTGGTAGACTTGTAAGTATTAGATACATAAAAATGAGACAAAAATAATTTGTCTTTTTAAATGTTCATTAAAGACCAAGAGAGGCCAATGTAAGAGATTTCAACTAGGAATTAAAATAGTACAGAAGCACTGATAGTTTGTTAATATACTGTATGGTGATAGTGATAAATGGGGAACAGATTAGAACCTAATTTATGAACTATTAATGAATACTAGATTAATTATTTTGTTGATCCTGATCACCCTATATTTCTTGCTTTTGGGCAACAAAGCTTCACCTTTCAGTTCATTTTATACTCTATGGATCCTCTAAATTGTTGCATTATGCTCAGGTGACCGTTAAGGCCCTTGGGCCTCTTGTTTAGTGTAGTGAGATATTGTTTGTTGGTCCCAAATTGCATACAAGATTAACTGTTTTGCTTTCTACTAAATGTGACAATCATAGACAAAATATTGTTAAAATCTAAGCAAGCTTAAGTCGAAAATTACCATATTTTTAGGATGTCTGAAATTTACACAACTAACCCCTACTTTTAATATTTCTTCCTCTCTCCCTCCCCCCCCTCTCTCTCTCTAAGATAATAACTGTGATAAGACTGCTGCAAATTCGATAAAATCTTTGAAATATTTTTTTTTTTTGTAAAATTTTTTTAATTAAAAGTGCAGAAAGGTCACATACAGGGTTTATATCTCTCAGTTGATTCGATAAGCAAGAACATGCTCTACGTATGAACAATTTCTAAAACGAGGTACATGTAAGTTGGTGACAAACAAGTTGATTAAACAAGACTATCAGCAGTCTCGTTTGAAGTCGTCATTTCGTAAGTTCTATGGTCGATACAATGACCCTGTCAGCAAATACAATTTATCATTTAAGTCAAATGCTGACTGACGTTTTTTATACTAATTGTTAGACCATTATTTAAACACTGAATTTTCGACGGATTTTCCGTTATTTCCCGATCATGACAAGGAGCACACGGCGGATGTGACCGGTCGGCAGGAGATGCTCACTCCTCCATGGCACCTGATTCCACCTCTGATGTTTTAGAGGCACATGTGAGTTAAGACTAGGTATAGGCGTTTCTATGCAAATTAGCTAATAAAAAAAGCATAAGAGATATATTTATTATTCAGAGAAAGTGTCGATTTATTTTCTTATGCATACTTAGTACCCACGATATGTTATAGCCAGTACACATTATGACGTTATGTTATGACGTCACTGATCTTACCTACTGGAAGTAATAAAACACATCAACAAAACAGCTTCGGCGCAAGGGATTACCCTATTTATTTTAACAAAAAAATGTATAATGCTAAGAATAATATTCTATAGATTAATAAAACTGTTGCACAAATCCTAGACATTTTCTCCTTTGATCGGAATTTGAGGAAACTTATACCGGACTGTACATTTTTACCCTTATTCAACTTAAAACTTTACAAATAGAAATGATACAATTGAGCTGTTGATATTTGTGCAGCAATACCAGCAAACTTTGGAATAATTTGCTTCTAAATATACCTTGTTTCAGTTAAATAAAATAGAGCGTGCCCTTGCGCCAAATTAAAGCATTGTTGTTCAGATCCATTATTATCTTGTGTAGTAAAGAACAATGACGTCAGAAAATGACGTCATAATGTGTACTGGCTATCTCACGTCGTGGGTACCAAGTATGTATTAGACAATTTAGGAATGACTCTAATTCTTGGCCAAATTATTCGAGTATAACCTGGTTTGGGTCAGTTTACGCTTTATAATCCGCGAAGCGGATTATAATTCTTGGCCAAATTATTCGAGTATGACCTGGTTTGGGTCAGTTTACGCTTTATAATCCGCGAAGCGGATTATAAAACAGCGTAAACTGACCCAAACCAGGTTATACTCGAATAATTTGGCCAAGAATTAGAGTCATTCCTTATAATTTCATTTTAAAATCATTAAATAACTATGGGTGTAAAATTTTGTTGCTTTTTATTAGTTCAAATTTGCCGCTCAGTAATACAACCGTAGTAACGGAAGTGATGGGAAGCTGATACATAGGCCTAGCAGCCTTGTTGTTTGTTTACATGTGGTAAGATCGAATTATTGTTTGAAGTTAAAGGTACATTTATTAAATCTGGAATTTTCCATGAATCCCGAGGACTGGAAATGAGAGGATTGTATGGATACAGATGATTCAGCTGGTTGTAGGGGGGGGGGGGGGTCCCCATACCAAACCAGGTTATACAGAAATAATTTGTGTTCCTTTTTGGATATTAACCAGTCAGAGGCTAGAATACAAACAAAATTAAATTATTAAGTTTTAATTTTCTCTGTATAATAGATATAGTTCTTAGGCATTTTAATTAGATTATTTGCATAGAAATGCCTATACCTAGCCTCAACTCACCTGCGGGTCCGTGTTTGCTCCAAAATCTGTATTGTTTAATGCATACGGACTTTTGAACATGAATACTGTTCGTTATCTCCATATATTTCACCAATAGTAATGCCTTGTTTTGTTTTTCTTTAACTTTTCTTAACTTTCAGTGTATCGATTTCCAATGGAATAAGACCATATTTGGTGCCATAATTCATTTGGACAAAAATATTGGAGAAAATCTTCGAAAAAGTGATTTACGTGTAATCTGCTTTTGCAGTGCTGAAAGGTCATATCAAATGCATGTTTGCGCTGGAGGAAGCAAATTGATATCCAATTTTCTTGTTTAGTTCAAATTAAGCTATGTGTGTATATATCAAAAATATAGTCAATAAGATTTTTTAGACTTCTGATAGCAGAATCTAACCTCCTTAAGCTATATATTGTCTTAGCCCGATCTTTCAACTTGACAAGAATAGCAATATGTGAAAAGAATTTGCTATTTTTGGAACATGTTAAACTATAAAATGATGCCCTCAGCAATAGCATACTTCAACAATTAACGACATTTTACTCAATTTTCTAGTAATACCAAAGATTTAACAATACCAAAGACTTTACAACATCAAAGATTTTTTTCTGAAAATCAATGGATAGATATTATCCTATAGAATTCATTTGAAGATATGAATATATGATATGACATAGAATAGGATTTACTAAAATTATATCGCCAAATTTTATGCTATATGTATACGTTATAGACAAAAAACCGCCAAAGCTGTGACTCCCCTGCCCCCTAGAAAAAATTTTACGGCAACAAATATATTTAATAAAATTGAGATTCTGTTTACCTATAATGATAACTTTGACACTATGAAAGCTTTGTTAACTACAGTGGTAATTTGGTTCACTATGATACTACATTTGTAACTTTGAATTACTAAAGCGGTCAATATGAAAACTCTGAAGTACTCATGTTATCACTCATGTATACATGTACAAGTATATAATGTATAATTAAGAAATAAACAACAATGTTAAAAAGTTCACTGGGAAATGAACTTGGTTGGTCACGTGATCAAATCCTGTGAAGTCCGAAGGGCTTCTTAGAAGATTTGATCACGTACCAACCAAGTTCATTTCCCAGTGAACTTTTTAACACTGTTGTTTATTACTTTTATTTACATTTGAGACGAATTTTTTGAAAAGAACTACATTTATTACACTAACGGCCCGCCGTATTGCTATGTTGTGACGCGCAGTGACCTAGAAGCTGTTTGGTCTTGAGAGTTCCCCTCGCTCCAACTTTTGAATACTTACATTGATGTTCAGCAGTCCAATTCAAGAACTATCTGTTCGTTTGTTACAAGTACAATAACATGTATTGAATATGAAGATGAAGCTCGAGTCAATTGTACATGTAGTCAGGAATGTGTTTTACAGTAATACATAGACATGTACCTGGAGATGTATGTTAAAGTAATACATGAACATAAGTTAGGAATGTAGGTTACAGTATAAAACGTGTATATGTGTCAGTTATACCTGTTCTGTAGTCATGAATTTATGGTACAATAATACGTGTACATATAATCAGAGTTTTTAATAAAATATCCAACATCTAAAAGTATGTGTAATCACTAAATACGATTCAAAATATTACATGTAATCACTGAACACAATTTAAATTAACCTTCTGTTTTCCCTTGTTCAAGTAACGAAATCATTTTTAAGTAGTAAAAAAAACAATAAATTCATAGATATAATGACTTTCCTTGATTACATTAATTGTAATTTCAGGTGTATATTTTCCTGTACCATGTCTTTTCTTGTATCTTTTTCCTAGTATATGTACTACATGCTTATAGATTTAATTTTAACATATTTTTTATGTGTTTTGAAAACAAGGCAGACTATTTATTAATCTTCGACACTTAAGGAAGCGATTGCAAGGCGTCACGTGATCGACTCATGTGATGTTTAAAAAAAGATTTACGGTAACCATTTCCGGAATAACAGCTGAATAAGGAGCATGATTATGATTACGCCCATGACAAAAGATCTTCGTGGCAATATTTTTAAAACAGAGAAAGAATAATATAAAGATGTGATGTTGCAGAGTGTTGGTGAGCGTCGACGCAGATTTTTTTATCCCTGTGTTTTTTTTTTCCGTTTTGACACGTCTACCTTTTGTCGTAGTTCTGAACTCGATTTCATGAATAAATTTAATTCATATCTGGATCTTTATGTCCTCTAGTTTTATTTAAAATATAAGAATTTTATTTGAGATCGGTTTCTTTCCTATAGGATCTACATCTATGAATCGATATTCATTTCCTAGAAGCTTCAGACGGCGTGATTTTCTCAGTGATTATAATGAATATAGGCCTATATGGATGGACAGATAAACGAATGCGATTTTCATATATACGTGTATAGACCAGTTTGAGGTCGCATGCTGGACATGAACGTATTTTTAAAAATATCGCAGAGGAAATTGTTTTCCCACATTATTGCGTAAACATTTGTTGTGGTAAAATGTTTTATGCGTCGTCTTTGGTAAAAAATTGAAACTTAACACACTTCTGATGACAGAAAAAAAAGTTTCTTTTTGCAAGTTTTCACAAATCTAGCAAAAAAATAGCGTGTAAGAATGACAGACGAAACTAAGAGAGGGTAATCCTGACAATACTACGGAGGTACCAGGTATACCAGAGAGAGAAAATTATTTTGAGCATATTACATTTATTAAAAAAAACATTTCAACTCATCATGCTCACGGGAATATATTTGAAAAATGAATTTAATTTTTTTAAAATTCACGAGGACATAAACAAAGACGCTTCACCTCAGCATATTTCAAGAAGAGCGTGAGCATGAAGCGCAAATTTATAAATGTCATTCAACGATTATTTTTGAAAAAAAACAGTTTGCGCTATAGTTTTGACGTCAAGTGTGGCATTATGACGTCACAATGGAGATATGTAAGCTTACCTAGTTCATGAGAAAATGAATTGTTTTCTAACTTGAATCTGAAGGAAAAATATTTGCAAATGTAAATATTAAATAGCAAATCATAAAATTTATCAAATAAGATAATAGGTAGGATTCATATATACGGAATATATTGCAGGTACAAGTTCTCTGAAATAACCTATTCATTCAATGTGTTCAAGTGACTCTCTCTCTCCCCCCCCCCCCCCTTCCGAATCCAAGTCACAGTGCAGAGAACTCGATGAGTGTTCAGAGCATGAACAATTTGGCCCTTACACAACTGTGCACTGGTTTAGAATGTATATACATGTACTTATATTGATATAATAACGGAATGAATATTTTGGAGATGGGGAAATAAAAAAAATATGCATGTTGTTGTTTTTTTGTGTACATGATACTAATATCATTCTGCTATCATTCTGCTCAACGTATAAAATGAGCAACCACTACAAGATTTTCAGGAAAAAATATTTATTAATCTATACGTATTTTCTATAGTTTTTAACAGATTATGCATATTAAAGGTTCAGCACCAAACCATCAGATTAAAATTTATGAAATCTTTTAATATTTTAGGAAGGGGGGTATTGAAATGCATGTAGCTTAAAAAAGAATGTGATGACCCCACTTCATATTTTAACCATAAGTCACTTATAATAATTGTACAAAATATATTAATTTAAGGAAAATTCATTGGGCAATTTTTTGTCAAGACGTTGAAAACTGCTCTTGGGGTGAAAATATTACTGCAAATTTACAATGACTACTACCCAAAGCAACTGTGGCATTAGTACATCTATCAGTAGTTTCCGATACAATTTTTATTTTCGATGAATATAAAGCATATTATTTAATATTTGGTGAAAATTATTTAATTTGCTTCAATTTTGATACCTGTATGGCATAATTAAAAATTCACTACATAAATATCAAAATATTGAAAAACGGTGGTTACCATGGCAACCATATCTTCCTTATAACCCTGATGACCATGGTTGACATTTTCATATTATGATACCCTTAACGTAAGGCAAATTATATGTAAAAATGAGAAAAATTCATAGAGCGGATTTTTTTTCATGTACCCTTGCAATCTCTTCCTTAATTCCCATATCTTGTTTATAATTTCTGTTTAACACATATCCTGATTACTGCAACTTTCCCTGTCCTCTATTGATGACGTTTTTACAATTTGTGTTTTTAATGCATATCTTGTGTTCGTTAAATTGTCTTACTACTTCAAATGTTTTCGGAGATTTAGCAATTTTATGTTTCACATTTATGGTGTATTCATTGATGTAGTCGGAGATTTAACAAGTTTTGTTTATATCTTTTATACCCTTCTCTATCCTGTATTGATGAAGTTAGAGTTTTTACAATTTGTGTTTTTCATTCATATCTTGTGTTCGCTTGTCTGACTACTTAAATGTATTTAGGCTTTAACAATTTATGTTTCACTTCATAAGTCTCTTAGGAATCGATGTAGTCGAAATTTTAACAAATTGTGTTTAACGCAGTTCTTCATTTTTCTGCCTTTTATTGGTGTAGTTGGAGTTTTACTCTTTGTATTTCACACATTTCTGCCAAATATGTTGACCGTGGAACCGTTGGGGCAAGCACAGATGTGTATACCTACAGATGTATAAATCTTTGAATTTGATCTGCCTCATCAAACCGCACAGGAAATTTGGAGGGTCTAAACTGACCTCATATGAGGTTTTATGTTAGCTACATATTCATAATAGAGTGCAAAATTTTAACAGAGCGTTTTATCCACAGTATACATGTATCTGCAATTTTTTTTTCAAAAAAGGGTAAGACTTCCAATTTCATTGTTAACTTTTGTCTCGTTAACGAGAGAACGAAATATGGTCAGCCATTATGTAATCTAAATTTGATTGTTGGTAAGGCATTCATTGCGGGAAAAAAGAAGCTATGGTAACCTAAAAACTAAGCTTTATGATAAACATGATGACTTTAACTATTCAATCGTCAACTTTCCTTACTTATGTAGCAACATACCACTGTCACCTGCATATGAGGTTTTATGATTCTAAGTTGATTCGATACGCATGAGCATGTTCTACGTATGAACAATTTCTAAAACGAGACAAGCTATTGACAAACAAGTTGATGAAACTATCAGCAGTCTCGTTTAAAGTCATCATTTCGCGAGTTCTATGGTCGATACAATGACCTTGTCAGCAAATACAATCTATCATTAAGTCAAATGCTGACTGACATTTTTTCATACTTATTGTTGGGCGATTATTCACACGCTGAATAGTCGACGGATTATTCTGTTTTTCATTACAATGAGCACACGATGGTTGTGACCGGTCGGCAGGGGAAACTTACTCCTCCATGGCACCTGGTTCCACCTCTGATGTTTTAAACGTCCGTGTTTGCTCTGCTCCTGATTTGTATTGTTTGAATGGACTTTTGAGCTTGAGCATATTTCTTCAGTGTGCAGATCATCATAATTTTCTCTTCGCCAAGACGTTGCTTTAAAACTATACAATTTGCGTTTCACATATATCTTGTTTACCTTTTTTTGCTTATTACATGTATTGATGTGGTCTGTTTTTTACATTTGAGCATCATTCACATCTCGTTTTTCATTTTTTGTCCATTACAGGTGTTATCTGAGCTGAACAATTTGTGTTTCACCGTAACTTTTTTGAGTACTTTTGTTGTAATAAGAGATTTACAATTTTAGTTTATCACATATCCTTTAAACATTTGTCTGCTTACCTATGATGCAATCGTAAGTTTAACGATTTGTAATTCTCAAATATCTTGTTTACCATTGTTACCTCTTAATGTAGTCACATTTTAAAGATATATAATTTTCACATATCTTTTTAAACTGCAAACTACGGTACAGTTCTAGTCAGAGTTTTTATAATTTCTCATTTGCAAATATCAAAATTATATTATTTTTCTGCTCACTGCATATGTGGTTGGAGTTTTACAATTTGTGTTTCATGCATGAGGTAAAATTAAGAAACAGTTTTCGATCTAGTAAATTACATAAACAATACAAATTGTGAACAGGATAAAAGAGCGGATCCCTAGAAACACCAGAGGTGGGATCAGATGCCTTAGAGAAGTAATCATCCTTTATCGACTGGTCACACACACTTCATGAAATGTTAATGCTATTAGCAAAATTAAATTTCACCTTATTGCCATTCTGAGGTGCATGTATAAATCAGAATAGGAACTGCATTTGTCTAAATCTACTTGACTGTATAGGTTAAATGTTTTAAACATTTACAGTAGTACTCTTTTTAAAAAGTCATATTTTGAAATTTTAAAGCTATTATGGTCTCTAGTTTTATATTAAGCATTGAGATTACGTAGTGAAACAATTTATAATATTATGAGGGAATAATCAACAACTATTTAGCGTACGCTCAGAATGATTTAATGATTTCTGACAATCTATTATTCATGAATATCAGTACTGTTGCTTAAATTGAATGACAGATATTCAAAGCATAATATATCAACATAATATATCGCAACAAAAGTTTGATTGCAAATACTTTATTTGCAACAAAGAGCATGGTGGGAATATACATATATACAGGGTTGAGATGAATTTAAGTATGTCATGAAGATATTCCGGTCCGTAGTCTAAACTCCGTCTACATTAGGCGCACTCGAGGATTTTGCATCATACCTCCATTGATGCTACCCGTTAATGTTCGTCGATCGGTAAATTGAGGCCTGCCGCCATTGAAACTAATCCGCCTGTTCAAAGGTCGGCGCATGGTCAGTCCGTCTCTAGAAACCGGTATTCCACGCCTATTTAGCAGTTGAGTGTATCGTGATGATAACATTCTCAGTCTTCTTAGAATGTCCATTTCCCTGGCCCTTATTCTCAAGAGCTCTTCACGAAGCCTTCCATAGGGTGGTCGTCCGGTACCAAAACTCTCCAAATCAAAACTATTTCGTGGCATATTTCCCGCTTCCCTTCCAAAAAGGCCCGACATCTGACTCCTTCGTCTCAACTCTTGGAGCCGCATTAATAAACGTCTATTTTCTTCTTCAATACGACGAATGTTGCTCTCCATTCTTCTGGACGACACATCACCTGGCAATCGTGTTTCTGGGAATGGTCGAGTTGGATCGATTTCTCCCGACTGTCCACGTCCAAAATCCATATCCCCTGGGCGTACTAATGGTGGCATGTTTCCATCTATCGGGTTTATACGCCCATCATCTGCAGGACCTAAGACCTCTTTGGGAGGTAGATTTCTTCTGGCTTGAGGTGACATTCTACTGATTTCCTGTTGAATCGTTCTGAGGTCTCTTTCAGCTTCCCTTCGCTGCTGTCTGTTTAAGATGGCGTTCTCATTTCTGGTCACTCTTGTTAGCTGTCCTGTATAAAATAAAATTAAAAATCTGAGACTTATAGAAAATTTGTTCATCGGTGTTTTTAAAAGTCAAAATTTCTTTCAATTTGGTCATAACAATATTCAAAATAAGTTATCATTTATTCCGGAAAAAAGGATTGTAAAAATATAAAACATAAATATGTATGTGGATTAATAAGAGTATTTTTTTTAACTCAGAGTGCCACGTTTTAAGACCATAAACTGAGAACACTCATGTGAAAATTTTAAATTCATAATACATTTGAAATAATTATGAAAATAAAGGAGAATTTTCATGATATGTTTTTATTTTAATGTTATTCGAATTTGCAACTTTTCTTATATTCTAGTTCAATAATAAAGTTATTAAGAATTAAAATTTAGTTTTGAGTCTGTTATTAGTTGAAAGATTTTTGCAAAATAAGAATGGTATTATAACATTCATAAAAGTTCTGTTGAAAGAAATTTTGATGCTTGATTTATTTATTTTATTATTTTTTTTGGTTCGAGTTTTGATTGACAGGCACACGGTCAAATAAAGACAAACTCCATTATCTTCTGCTTTAACCGTTAGGAATTTTAGTATTTAGTATTTAATATTAACATAAAGAGCTAAAATGTCAGAAATTGAATTAAGATTTTTAACAGCTATAAGCAAAAGCATGAATGCTGTTTATACGGCTAGCACATAAATTAGCATAAATCTCAGATTCGTAGTATCAACTCTTATGAATTCTTGTATGTGCATTATCAAGATATGTTGACACTGTAAGGGATAGTATTTCTTCCATAATACCTTCAGAAATTTTAAAGAATATGAAGATTTTAATACTGTATACAGGGTATTGTGTTATTTTTGCTTCTCTCACTTTTAAACGATTTCCCCTCGTCTTAATTTTTTCCAGACACAAATTTAGTAAAGAAACAACTCTGTTTTCTTTCAATTCGCCCTATTTTAAAGTGGCCCCATTGCAACAAAGACGAATGGTGCCAAAATAAAACGGGGCAGACAATTTCCTAGTTTTCAATAATTGAGTCTCTCTCTCTCTATCTCTCTCTCTCTCTCTCTCTCTCTCACCATTTCGGTATGCGTTGTCTAAAGCCAGTAACTGAGCATCCAGTTCCCTTATCTTCTGCCGCAGAAATGCTTCCGCGTCCATTAGTTCCTCCAGCCTCGGTTCCGCTGGGCTAATGACATCAGTACCTTCACCTGGTTTCATTCCTCGTTCTATTGGTTCCCCGGGTAGTGGATTGGCGTCGGGGGTTATAGTGGGTATCTGTGTACCCCCGGGCCGACTTGGGCTTGTAAACTGTTCGAAGTCTAACGTAATTACCTGTCAGTGTAATATATATTTGGGATTAATTGTAAATAGCTACATTTCTTATATATAATATATTTATATTAACAAGACATTTTCATATTCATTTCAGTTTAAGCATTTCATTATTGTTTGAATCTAATGAAACGCTAAAACTGAAATGAATATACAAAACTTTCCTCTTTAATCCTCTGACGATAGCACATATATAAGTGTAACTCTTGAATCCGTTAAAAATGTCATAAGTTTACCTCTTGAAGCCGTTAACGGTAACATAAGTTTACCTTTTAAAACCGTTTACGGTAACATCAATTGACTTTTGAAACCGTTTACAGTAATAAAATGTTACCTCATGTGGTCTCTAGAGATTACATATGTTTTCTTTTTAAGCTTCGTATTGGTGAGATCCTTTCATCGTTAACATAAGTTTACCTATTGAACCCGTTAACGGTAAAATAAGTTTACCTCTTGAACCCCTGTATCCGGGTTCTTCCTCGTCTTGGTAATTGTGGCACTTCCTCCCTGAGCATATATCTCCAGCATCTTTCTGATCTCGTCAACAGTGATGTCATAAGTTTTCATCATATTCCTCAGCTCATCATTATAGACCACCTGTGGAAATTTTTTTGTTGTTGGTTTATTAAGGAAGCTCTTAACACTGCACACTAAAGAGTACTATTTGTAGGGTAGTTTTATTGAGTTAGAGTGATCTGCCCTTAGAAGAAAAAATAGAATAAATGGGAATCTACAATTAATGACACAAATTGTTATGAATTAAAGTATTCTTAATTTTATGTTAGACTAAGATTAAGTAATTAAATACATCATTTCCATTAATTTTTCCGATGTAAGTAAACAACAGCGATTTCTGTTCACAGATAATTCATTCTCTTTGAACATTTTTCCTACAGAAATAGGGCAGGTACCCTATGTTGAAAATGAACTAGATACACTGAATATGTGCACCTTGATATGATATATTTTTCTCAAAGTCCAAAAAGCATTTTTCATTAGTGTTTAGAGCTTCCTTAAAGGCGAATGTCTACCCTTTGGAACGAATATTATACATTTGTGACCATAATAAGGTCGGAATTCAAATTTCATTTTGAAAAAGAGGACTTGATAAAAATTCTTACAATAGTTAAGATAAATTCAGTTAAACTCTGTTAATATACGAGGGAAAAACTTTCCAAAGACTCAGTATAGTGGTGTAGGTGTACTATGCCACGAAAATGAAAGTAACTGGAATAGAAAATATAATAAATATGGCAATAAATGAGAAGCATTACAAAGAAATTGATGATTATTGTGACTGGAGCTTGATAAAACCTCTATAAACGTGGCAACTTAATACAAAATACTGTATGTAGAAAAAGAAACACTGAAATGTATTGATTAAACGACAAATATTTAACCACTTTAGTAAAATGTGAACTACATTACTACATGTATATACAAATTGCACTTCGGATTCGTTGCCATGGTGCTCTCAGTGACGAATATGCACATTTTACCGGTAAATTTATTAGCACAACTTAAATTACTAGTAGTTTTCGATATATAAATATATTCACAATTGATAGTGTTTTCAATTGCTTTACCATTATTTCCATAACCATTTGCATCTAAGTTTTATGTCTATATTCAGGTGTTGATAATCGCCTAGTTTTTCTTTTTAACATCTGGTTCGATGCCATCTGAGGTTCTAGAAATTTCCATAAAAAGTAAGATCGGAGATTGACGAAAACGATTTCGCATTTTACTTATTAATCAGTTATCACAACTTATTTCTTCTGTGTCACTTAAGGAGGTTGGATCCTGTTATCAAATCTAATATTTTTCATCCAAATAAATTATGGGACCAACACATTTTTTTTCATCTTGAATAGTCACCTTAGAATTTGTGACAACAAAAAAGGTTTCAATTATTGGACCTTTCTGCACTCAAAAAATGATTTTTCTGGCATCAAAAATTTAACAAGCAATAAAATTATTTGAAAGTAATGACATTTTTCTGAATTCAAGCAGAATGGTTGGAATTATCTTTTATATTCAGAATAGAAAATTAAAAGAGAGGGTCTGAGATGTTAATTTTTAGATATTAATAAAATAGTGTTAGTTTTAAGCTTTAACTGCAAGGCTCTCACACAACTTTCTGGGACTGGGGCCAGGGCTATTCAAATTGGGAAAATTTTCGTCATTTCGGCGAAACTTGGGAAAACCTGGTTCCTTATTGAAGCCGAACCAGTTTACGAATATAGGTAACATGTATTAATTTATACAGATAACACAGAACTAGTTTGTTTTACTTTCACTTGTTGGCGATTAAGTTTCATCGATTAAAATTATTTTCAAAAAATATTTTGTAAAGAAAATTGGGAAATTAACATTTGAGAGAGAGAGAGAGAGAGAGAGAGAGAGAGAGAGAGAGAGAGAGAGGTACATTTTTTGCATTGGGAGTGGGGCCATTCAATGGACCCACTTATAGAGAATCGAGAGCCCTGAATTGGGTTATTTTTTCCCAAGGAATTTCACAATATATTTGCTATATTTGTTAAATATGATGGTAGAATTTATAACAGTTAATTGAATATATAATTTCGGACCAAAACTATATGATACCTGTTTTATAGGTCTATATCCTCACCTGAATGTTACCTGCTTTTATTGATTTTTAATCCTTACCTGAATGTTATTGACCTTTCATTTGATTGTTTATTTACATATATGTTACCTGCTTTCATTGTGCTTTCATTAGTTGGTATGTGTTCTGTTATTGTCGGTGTATCTGTTGGTTGTATTGACCTGTATGTGTCTCGTTGTTACCGATGTATCTGTTGGTTGTATTGACCTGTATGTGTTCTGTTATTGTCGGTGTATCTGTTGGTTGTATTGACCTGTATGTGTCTCGTTGTTACCGATGTATCTGTTGGTTGTATTGACCTGTATGTGTCCTGCTGTTGTCGGTGTATCTGTTGGTTGTATTGACCTGTATGTGTCCTGCTGTTATTGGTGTCTCTGTTAGTTGTATTGACCTGTATGTATCCTGTTGTTATCGGTCTATCTGTTGGTTGCATTGACCTGTATGTGGCCTGTTGTTATTGGTCTACCTGTTGGTTGTATTGACCTGTATGTGTCCTGTTGTTATCGGTCTATCTGTTAGTTGTATTGACCTGTATGTGTCCTGCTGTTATCGGTCTATCTGTTAGTTGTATTGACCTGTATGTGTCCTGTTGTTATCGGTATGTCTGTTATTTGTTCGTACTTGTATGTTCCCAGCTGTTATCGATCTATATGTTATTTGTACTTACTTGTATATTCCCCGCTGTTAGCTGCCTATCTATTATTTGTACCAACCTGTATGTTCCCCGCTGTTATCGGCCTATCTGTTGTTTGTACATTCGAGCCTCTTTGTTGTTGTCTACGTTGATTAATCTGTTGTTGCTCTAACAGACGTTGTTGCTCTATTTGCTGTTGTCTTTCCAAAAGCTGTTGTTGGTCTATTTGTTGTTGCTGTAGCTGCCTCTGTTGGTCCATTTGTTGCTGTTCTATTATCTGTTGTCGTACTTCTGCTTGTTGTTGCTGCCTTATCTGTTGATCCTGTTGTATTTGTTGTCTTTGTTGTTCTTGTTGTCGTCGGATTCCTTGGACGTCTTCTATCATAATATCATTTACGTTTGGTAAGCCTGGCATTTGGACGTCCTCTCCCACTTGACCATAAACGGTGCACGTTAAACTCACTAAAGCTAAAAATAGTGGTCTTGGACCCATCCTGCAAAAGCATGTCACATTATAGGCTCTTAGGAAGCAATTTTAGCTTGGAAAGGGGACACAACCTATCAAATTTATTGGAAGGGGCACAACCTTAGAAATATTCCTTGACAAGCAAAAATAAAATAATAAGGTCACCACGTGTTATTATTCAGGGACACAACTACAAGTTCACTACAACTCCTATCGTACAGCATATACTGGCAACATTATTGAACCCCTCCCCATCCCCCCTTCCCTGTTCCTAAGGGCCTGAAGTAAAATGGTTAATCTAAAGAATCCTCTACTTAAGTCCTTAACAGAGGATGCATATTTAGGTTTAGAACAAAATCAAAGTCACGATAATTTTTCCATGCGATCAGATTTGTTTCTTAAGCGTAAAACAGGATTCCGAAATATTAATTAATTATGACGTAGAAAATATATTCTCTTTCCGTAAATGTATTAATTTAAAAGCTGGAGATAACTACTAATTATTGATTGTATTATTGTCTTATTTCTATTTCCCTAAGGAAAAAACGACTATGTTGATATATTCTGAGACAATTATTATTTTTCTATTTGTATCTTTTTAAAATCTATATATTCATATTGCCATTATTGTTTTTTTTATTTGTTTACTTTGTTTTGCTCTAAAAAGGTGTATTTATCGCATAAACAATAATAATAAGCCAATTATTCTTTGAACAAGAAATAAAAAAGAATATCAGTTCATTCTACTAAAATGACTGTGAGGAATATACTAGTACTGCCAATATCCAGATGATTTTATATATTGAAATACTCTCTATTGAAAACTCATAAAAAGACTAGGAATCTGAATTTATAAACTCAAGGACTTGTTTCTTGGTTCTTTTGCTCTATCTGAGTTTGAGGAAAAAAGGAAATATCTAAGGTATTAAACATATGAAATTAACAATATAAAAATGAAATAAACTAAGAAAAGACACTCGCATCAAACCTGGATTGTGTGATAAGTCCCCGAAATGAATTGCCCCGTACAATTAGTGGACAAACAATGCTCTATGTCTATTTATTGGGTTTTGTTCACTTTTCAATCACTTGATATCAATCAATAGTGTTCCCCCCTACATACCAAATAGTTCTTCATTCGTTAGTTCCGTTCAATTAAATTCCTCTTAATTACACATTCTTTCCTTTATAAATGTTGACAGAAAACATTTCTAGACCACAATTACTAGTTTGTACAAAGACTGCAAAATAACTTCTTTCATTGATTTAAAAAAAGATATCGTTTTTATTCCTTAATTTTCATTTTCTTTATAATTTTTTTTTATTTATCATTTTATTCATTGCTTATACAGATTAGAATCCAACAAATGAGGCCTCTTTGTGGCCTTATGCACTTGGGAATTCGCGAACAATTAAATTTCAAGTTAAATTTAGAAATACAACCTATTTGAATAAATAATAAAGACAATTGATACAACTAAACTTTTTTGTGGTTTATAGCAGAGTCTTTTCATTGTCACGAATCCCTGACTTTCAGTCTTACAAACTTAAAGAGAAATCATTTTGGGATTTTCTCGCGGAAGACGGGGAAGGTGTGTGATGCGGTCCATTGAAATGAAGTCATGACTTATCAAACAAAAAAAAATAATATATATCCTCCTAACCTATTCTTAAAATATTTATATTACTTGTTATAAGCAATTCTAACAACCAGCTTTACTTTGATTATCAAAAGATGTTCCTAGGACATTGAGGGGACAATATGTGATACATGTGCAGATTATGCCAAAAATTTTATTTACCTTCGTCTTGAAAAGCGGAAGTTAAAAGATAATCATACAAGAATTTTGTTTTTCTGGCTTTTAATGACCTTATTTTTAGTTAAGGTATTCAATGTATAATGAAGGGATATTGAGCAATTTTGAATCATTTTAAAACAGTTAAATATGCATTGCTAGATAACGATGAAAGTGAAATGAACCAGGTTCACATGACTGATAACATAGAAGTAGCCGACCATTTTGCATCTTAAACGAAGTATTAAGATTCGAGTAAAGACTTCAATAAATTTGTCGGACAATATATTTGGATAAAAATAGACAGAAGACTTCATCATGAATAGAGTTTGTTTTTACCATGGTAACCCAGATGACCTCTGACCTTTTGATCTAAAAATTGAAAGAGGTCACCTTTCAACTAGGTCAATTTGTGTGTTAATTTGAATTTGGATTACTATCAAACAAAAGACATTTGACATAGATATGACAAAAAAAAAACCTTGTGATTCTTTCATCTGGAAATGAATAGGCATCATTTATCTTATTAATCATTCATCTCCTCAAACTCAATCTGAATACAAAATTTGATGACAACCAGACGCATGTTGATGGACTTTGGTAAGCGACATAAATTATGTTGTTTTAATTTTTGAACTTAAAATCAGTAGGGAATATTTGCTTTCAATGACTTTTCTCTTTGGCTTCAAACTTCAACTTTTAGGTTCTTAAGATATTGATGGAATTGTCTGTATTATACTCTTTATAAAATCTTGTTATCTTAAAAATTCACTTGAAATCAATAAAGGTTATGTCCTTCTCATAGACAACCATTGCATAAAGTTTTTTTTTCCTTTTTACTTCATCAAAGAGAGCATGGCTTACATTTTTAAAAAGTTTCTTTTTGATGGTATTATCATCCTCAATTTGACAGATGATTCAGATTAGAAGCTTATTTAATCTACATGTGTGTAAGAATCGTTTCGCTGTTTATATTTTATGACCTTTCCCTGATTCCTTAGATCAAAATGTTGTCCATCACTAACGAGAAATCTTCCAACACATAAAAAGGACATTCATTAAATAGCATGAAGTTTATTCGTTATCATTTTTGTTATTGATTTTGTAAAAAAGAAAATATTATACACAACGTACAGAAGGATATGATTCCAGAACATTCCTGAACTGCACGATTGTAAGTTTATGAACTATTTGCACAAATTCTGTTCAATTTGACCGCACCAGAGTATGAATACATCGGTGCGTAGTAATCGGTCAAGAGATCTGTCACAATTAGTTCGTGATGGCTGACTCGTCAACAGGTGCGCGACCATACTGTTTGAGACGGATTGACATTTAGTGTTTTTGTACGAAAGGATCTGTAAACTAATTAATTATTTCTACTGTAATCTAATGATTGTCTACTTGTTAAGACACAAACTGTAATCAGAACAAGATGGCGTTTAATGCATTTTAGATTCGTTATTTATAAAGCATGTAATTAACCCTAGGTATTTTTAGTTCATTTAAATTCTTCTTTGAGACTTTCCACTCTTGCCTCTATTGAACCCGGAAGGAGATAATCTCATATACAAATCTAAATAACATAACTTCTTCATTTTTAATCATTTAAGATTTTAATATGTAATAAAAGGAACGAATAAAAAAAATTATAGATTTTGAAACATTTTAAGTTTGTCATGCTAAGAGTTAAAGAAATATGGGAAAAAAAATTAGATTTAAAATAAAAGCACAAAAAAGAAAACAAAACAAAAAATCAATTAAAAAAATATATAAGGAAAGAAAACACAATGACAATGGAATATAGTATGACATCTAGACAACTTTTACATTGATTAGAAAATGGATTTAATTACCTTAAACATTTTTGAGATATGCATTCATCATAAGATTAGGAAAACATTATAAATATATATATAAACACTGACGTATTTAATGAAGTTCAGTGGAACTTTCACAGGATCTCATTTACATGCTGAAAAGAAATTCACTTTGCCCATATACTCATATGGAAGCATGGGTATCATTTTTTATGAGATCAGTGCTTATAGTACCTCTATAGCTAGTTTTCTTATTGGAGAAAGAAATTAATATTCTAAAGAGGAAATAATGCATTTACCAAAATGGTTTGACAGTGCGAAAGGCACCACTGATCTTGTGTCTCTCTTTTGGGTTTCTGGGTAGACTTTATTGCAAAAAAGTCAAATGGCGAATAGATAAATGAGTAGAACAAGCAAATTCAAAGAATTGTTTTCCCCGACTTTCGGTGTCTTAAGGGTTGGGATGCAATTATTTATGGCATTTTGTAACTCTCTGCCTGTGTCCTGTCTTGTCTTACCATCATACAGAAAAGATTTAAATTTTTGATTTAATAAAAGTTATGGCCAAGATTAAAGTTTCTTAAGACTGCATCAAACTTCAAGATCAAGGTCATTTGATCAAATATCATACCACAAACCGAAATTTCTTGTCACAATTAATGAACATGTGAAAAAAAAAGAAATCAAAGCCTTGTTTCTTCTGGGGCAAAAGTTAAGACCAAAGTTAAAATTTAAGATGAGTAGGTCAAACATAGAATTGTTTCAGGTAATACACATATCAAGTATGAACACCTTATCTTCTCTCATTCAAAAGTCACCTAATCCTAAATAGTACATGTAGCTTATACTAAGCATTTTATAAAACCTCATTTTACGGCTTTTTTCAGGACTCTTATGTCCAATCATTCTTTCATGATGTTCCTGATTTATAAGATTTTCAAAGGTACGCCGTATTATAAGATTAAACATATGAACAATTTATCCCTGACTTATTTTATTTTTTACATATATTATTATTATTATTTATTTCAATATTACTTAGCCTTTCATTATACATGTATTACCAAATTAACTCGGGTCTGGTCAATGAACAATGGTCCCTGATTTTTAAATATTTTTAGGGAATGCTAGTTTCTGATTATTAACATACATGCCTGCTGAATGACCAAGAAGTATGGAAAAAGGATTTATGAAAATTGCATGTATTTAAACAGTATTTGACCCACGTACCTCAAGCCCCAAGTGTAACTGGGGTCCTTAAATTAAAACATGTTATTCCTCTTATTTATCACTGTTACGTGATAATAAGGATCAGAGAATTCAAAGAAAACGTTCAATTATTTACCAACGATATATCACGGGCAATGCATGAAAATAAGGGAGAGGGACGTAGCAGTAGGTCCACTGAGAAACTCAAGTTACTAAGAATATAAAATTGATCCAAGGTCATGAAACACTTTAAATTATCAGACAACATTTGCAACAAACTAAGACCTTGGAAGACGATATACAGAGTTGAATTTTTTTTTTACAGTTTTTGGAGTAGACACTTCCTCTCTGCTGTAATTGGTAGAAAATGCATCGTGTGAAATTTTCATTTATTTTATTGGTTGAAATACTTTCCTACACAAGGGAGAAAATATGCTTGTGGTATAACTTTCTAATGACTTTCTATAGCTAAAAACATTTACAAAATGAACAAAAGAAAATCGCAACGAAACTGATACCTTAATTTTTTCGAAAGCAACTATTTAAGAACCCTCTATACAATGCACACAAAAGAGTTTTGATTCTGGAGTATTTTTATGCAGTTAGAGTAATCTGCCCTTTGATCTTTGAAATCCACAATGTATTACCCTATTTGTATTCATTTTAAACATTTTAAACATTGTAATAGGCCAAGATAAATCAGCTGAACACTTAATTTGCATGTATTTTCCCCAGTTGAGTTAGAAGTTTTGATTTCTGTTCAGCAATACTCTGTTTGCTAATGAACCTTTTTCCTGTGGGTAAATGCCACGTTACCTATGTCGAAAATTAAATAGGTAAGCTCAACATTTACACTTTTATACAATATGATTTTTTCAATGTCTAAAATTATTTTTTCTTTTAGCGTATAGAGGGTCCTTAAAATTGTTTCTATAACAGAACTGTTCTGTTAATTGTGCATGCAAACGTTACAATTTGTGTTTCATTCTTATCTTTTCTTTGTTTTGCACTGTCTGAACTGTCTGTGAAAAGCTGTCGAAGAATTCATCCTGTTTATGTGTATGTCAGTTTACTATAATTTACGATTATCCCTAAAGACGGTATTAAAGATTTTTTGCAAAATCTACATCTATGCTTGTTAAAAGAAAAAGTTAATAAATTAATCCATTCTAGAGTACAATGTAATGCTCTAGTTACGATTTCACTATTTATTGCTGTGATATTGACCTATCTGACATGATCTTGGTCATGCTACAGTATAGGTTATTTGGCTCCTGAAAGAGATTATATGACACCCCCCCCCCCCCCTCTCCATCCCCACACATTATTTCATGACAGCTAGACAGACTCTTGACAGGCTGTATACCATGTCAATAAACATACGGCCCCCCTTCTATTGGGATAAACATAATAAATACATGTATAATAAATATATATTCTGTTTTTTGGGTCAAATCTTTTTACTGCTCTAGCATTCTACATTTTGTTTGCTCTGAGTGAAGTTTTTCTAAAAATAATTAATATGACGTTCAACCCTTTAGGTTCGAATGAGAGTGATCTCTGATATTAACATTGTTTAAAGGAGTATTTATTGTTTTTAAAAATGATGGAGATTTGCTATGGAAATTATGTATTGACCTAAAGAGTATTTTTATGGCCAAACAATTTGTATGAAAAACGTCAGTCAACATTCGACAACGATAAATTGTATTTGATAACAAGGTTATTGTATCAGACAAAAACAAAAACAGTTTAGGCGGTACTACTTAATATTATAAATTATTAAAATAGTCGATTGAATGTTAGGATCATCCAAAGAATTCTTAAAAATATTGAAAGAAACGGTTGTACTATATAATGTGAATCTTGAGTCAAAAACAAATTGATATTGTATCTGTAAAAATCCCTGATAATTGTTTTGAAAATTAAAAATTATCAAAATCGGCTACCTAGTGTATTTTTAAAATATTCTAAGATTAAATGTTATAAATGTCCAAAAGTAAAACCTTAAACATTGTATTTTTTTGCAAGTATGAGCGCTACTTTTAGTATGATTTTTAGAAGTAAATAAAACTTAAAACGGACATACCTTTTATACTTTTAGTTTTCTTGCAGATCCTTGTTGAAAACGTTGAAGTGTTTAGCTTCTAAACACAAATCTAAGTGTTTAGAATTGTGTTTAAACTCTAAACATGTAACTATTTAGGTTTAAAACACTTTCCATTACGCGTATTGAAATAAAACATGTTTAAAATTTAAACGCATTAAAAAAAGTGTGACAAGAATGTGTTTAGAAATGTGTCTATCATCTAAGCACATTTTTTACAGTGTATACATATATCAGAGATATGCATAGTATTTGGGTTTTGATTTTTGATACTTTAGGAGAGAAATACAAGTTGTTGAACATTTTTTATGAAACATTTTATTTGCTTATAAGGTATATCAAATTTGTCTGGATAACTACTCCTGCAGTTTTCAAGAGAAGAAGTTTTTCTTTGGAAGATCAATTGCACATGTATAACAGATTTGCATGGATGTTGTATTTTGATATTTGATCATCTATGGGGGAAATGCCAGTTGTTGCACTTGTTCATAGTGCACATTGATGTTGTTGGGTTGTCACCTCATACCGTTTTCAGAATAGAAATGTTTTAATAATTTATGTGAGAATTATCAGTACTGCTCACACACACACAAAAAAAAAACGGTTTGACAGTTCTCCCCTTGTTCATCTTTTTTTCAAATTATTTTGACTGTGACTGGAAATATTTACATTTATATATTTTCAAAAAGACAATTGAAAAAAAATAAGAAATGAGATTCTTTATTTAAAGAAAATTAACATTTTGTATCACAATCGTGGTAACAATCCTGTCCAAACCTGAAATGAACCACATATTAAGAAATAATTGCGCTGCTTTATAAAATTAATTGGCTATCAAATTAGTAAGATAGTATTTGATTGTATTCAATATCTTAATCCTTTAGAAAAGTTGATTAAACATTTATACAGTCACTTCTTTTTTCCAAAAAAGATATCTTTTACCCAAAGTATTAATGAACGTCCTGAGTTACCTTGTTTTTGTTTTTTTTTTTCAAATCGGTGAACAGAACATGTAGAAATCATTCTTTCTTGCATTTTTAATATACAAATGGTAATCAAAAGAATTTCTTTCATATTTATTTTTCAGTAGAACACCATGCAATTTGAATAAAATTTATTTTTTTTAACTAAAGCAGATTTATAAGTACAGGATTTCAACACTAATTAACATAATATATAGGAATCCAGGCTTGTAATAACATCTGGTGCACATCAAATATGTGCAATGTGATAAATTCTAAGGAAATAATTGTGGATAAGTTAGGTAGAAATGCTGTGTTTGCAAATGTTTGGTTTGTCAGAGATACAAACTGATGGTCTATTCACACCAAAAATATTTTAAAACATGAAACAACACTTTTATTTCGTTTATTTTGGTCACCTTTTGCATAAAAATAAAGTCAATCTAGTCAATATCTAAAAGAAAAAACAAGCACACAATTTTAAACAAGATGAAAACAATATACAATATGGACTTTGTATTTGATTAATCTGTTTCATATTAACCATACGTATGTCGATGACTGGGGAGAAGCCGAGGATATTATTGATATTTTTTTCTGGTTTATATAAGGTAAATTAAACATTTAAGACAAAAGTTACATTAATATTGTTACAGAGTCCAGTACTAAATAAAACAGACTTCGAAGGCTTTAATAAAAAAAAATCATTAACGTTCTTATGTAAGGTCAATGATGTACAGTTTACAGTTGTAACATTCCTGTAATATCTTTTGTTATGTGATAGACATTCTCCATCAGTGTGTTAAAATAACTTTCCTATAAGAGGCTTACGAACATTTTTTTTCCTGTTCAACCAAGCCGTCGCGGCCATTATTTCCAACAGATTTTGATGTGTCCTTAGTGACGTCACAAACACTGCAGTCTTCGCACAGAAACAGGAAACAGGATTTTATGACTGGCATTAAATTAGATAAAATAGTGACTATAGAGATACCACGTTATGATAATAAGTAATGTCCGAAGTGGCAGTAAATTGTCAGAAAAGTTGATGATCGCGACTTTGCTCCATTTGTAAGCTATAATTTGATCGTCATGATCACTTCAGAAGAAAATGTATCTTTCAGGTATAATATTGAACCTTTAAGTTGTACATGAGAGAGAAGACAATATGCACTCATGAAAATCAATCTCAATATATCAGTTTTGAATCTATGCAAACATATGAGTACTTTTTTATGAAAGCAAAATACAGAAATTGATGACATTTTGTCACAAAAAAAGGGAAAAAAAAACGAATGCTATGTGCAGATTATTCTCATAATAGTTCTACACAACGTTATCAAATGTACGATTAAAATATTCGAGTCGAAAATGTTCTTCTCTGTGGCCTGAAAAATCGTAATGTTCTACGATTCCCTATATTACCCACAGGGAAAGTGCGAAAATTTGATCTTTCTCTGAAATCATCACCTGCAAGGTTTCTAAAGGAAACAGAACCGAATCCAGATGCTCCGCTCATAAGCTGTGCAACTTGCCTGTTGAATTCTGGGAAATCGTCAAAAGTTTGTGTTAAAAAGCCTCCAGTTTCCCGTCCACTGTTTCTTGTTCCCAAGGATTGTGTGTCACCACCACGTCGAGAAGATACATCGTCATCTAAATCCACTGATGATAAACTCAGTGGTGTTCTGTCAAGTCTAGGAGATAAAGTTCCAAAAAATGAAGAGGAACTCGTGGAAGTTGGTACTGTTTGTCTGGTACCACTTAAAGTTCTTCCAGACTGCAATAAGTTTTGTCTAGCCCGTGTAGTACCAATAAACGATTCCCTTATATCATCAGGTAAAGACGAGGATCCTGAAAAGTCAGACTGAATAAAACCTGAGGAAGCACGTACACTAGATGGTAATGTATCGACAAAGCCACTTCTGAAGGCAGTAGATAAAGGAGTGGACCTTTGTGTGTCGCCAACAACTGGTCCAATTCTGGTAGAACTAGACAATCCACGGCGGTTTTGGAATCCAAGGATACGAGGCTCTATATCATCATTTTCGGAAAAAGTACCAGTTCTCACTCCTCTTGGGAAAGGTGCGTCTGTTATTTGTGAAGGTGTAAGTGCTCTTCTTAAGTTTTGTTGTCTAAGACGACCTAATCCTACAAAAGGAACGAAATCATCAACGTTTGATAATCCTGCTCTGAATCTTCTTCCTACAGTATTTGTTCCTTGAGGAGCTCTTAACAGGTCTCCGCGTTCGTTTAATCCTAAGTTTAACACTCTTTCTGGTAGTCCATTGTTATCATCATCAGAAACCGAAAGTCTTGTGTTTCGGGGAATTGGAAGGATATCTCCAGCACCTCCTGTAGTCTGAATGTCAACGCTACTTATTCTAGACAGTTGATCCTCTAGTAATTCTCTCTGGGTTAGTAAAGCATTCAATTCTTGTTGCTGTGGGGAAAACGAAATACCATTGCCCCGGGTTTGCCCAGAAGTATCAGTCAATAGAGCACGTCCAGGCATTATATAAGGATCATTTCTCATTGCCTCCGTTATTCTTGCAGAAGCACTATCTGCTTGATTTCGAGTTACTATCCCAGGACTTGAAATTGATGGTGGAGGACTATTGATTCCGTCGTCATCTGAGAATATCTGACGGATATTTTCAGGCGCATTCACTTGTCCGGCTTGAGCAAGGGCATCAAAGACCCGATTATTTTGCAAACTCTCAGAATCAGTTATTATATCTCGCCCAACACTTATGCTATTGCCAACGAGTGGGGAACTGACTGAAGAGATATCATCAATAGAATTTCCAAATTCATCGAAAAAATTTAGCCGTCCTGTTGCAGCGCGGTTGATGTTTCTGAAGGGTGCTCTCCTGGTCAGAAGTGGATTTGGAGCGGGTGAATTTATAATAATCTGCTCTTGTTCTCTCAGACGCCGTTGTATTTCACGCCTCTGCTCTAATAAAGTTGCTAGCCGCTTAGCTTGATCACTGTCAAATCCATCCTCAAGAAAATTTCCTCTCACAGTTGATGTGAACTCTTCTCCAAGACCTAATTCAGAGGGGATTGTGTCTATCTGCTCGTTCCTTTCCAGATCCTGAATCACGAGTGGAGCACTTCCCAAATTATCGTTAGGAGGTAACGTTGGTTCTCTTAGGTCTGGTAATTGAGTTTCTACTGATGTTCTGAGAATTTCCTCCTGTATGTTTTTAAGTTCCTTATCAAGTTCGGTTGTATCGATTGAGGGAAATTCGGAGAGGGGAGCCCCTGGTGTAGGACCAATGTCGTTCACAGTTGGAACTGGGACATCGGGTGTTGGTGTGGGTCTGTTCAATATTGGAACTCGGACATCAGGCGTAGGTAAAGGTGTTTCAATTATGTTAGGCTGTTTCAAACCACCTTCTCCCTGCAAGCTTCCTAATAATCTATCAATCTGCGACTGATCTAGTGGTCCATTATCTGCCAATCCAAATTCGTTGTCTTGTATTTGATTTATCCTTGCATCTTGGACAATCTGATCGATAGGAGTTGGTGGATCAACAGGTGGGGACGGAGGCGGATTATTTATCTCTTCATTAACTGTTTTAAGGATGTTGTCTAGAATAGAGTTAAGTTTTTCTGGCTCCAATTTAGCAAAGGAGCTAAGGTCGATATTACTTTCGGCTAGTTTTTCTGCAATGTCGAGTCCATTAGGTATATCTGGGTCAGCTATTGGTGGCGGCAGTGGCGGCGTTGGTGAATTAATAATCGGGTCTTCGTCTACGATGATGATAGTTTGGCCCTCTGGAGAAACTATATCAGATGGTGGGATTTCTGTACGAATGTCTGCTGGCCTTTCGATTGGCAGGCTAGGGGTATCACAGTTCACCGAAAATGCGCATAGTACACAAGTTATGAGGAATAGAAGTTTCATCTTATGGGCCTTGTTAACCTTCACCTACAATGTAGAATTCAGATATATCAAACAATGAAACGGGTTCCCTCATTAATAATATATTTTTAAATTTAAGAGAGAGAGAGAGAGAGAGAGAGAGAGAGAAAGTTTATCTTTAAAATGAAGAGGAAATAAATTGAGGCAAAGAACGAAAATAAAAGAAAATATACAATGCATAAACACCATGTATTTATAAGTTTATTAATATTTTAATCAATTTTTACAACAAAACCAAAAAGAAAATAAAAAGAGCAGACGGACGGACGGACGGACATCCCCGTTACTATACACTCCCAGAATTCAAGCGGGAGTATAATGAATAGTTCGCAGCGAGAAATATTTGTGAATAAAAGGTCGCGAAACTCACGTAAAAATTCTCACACGCGAATAAAAGTTGGTTTACAGTATCTTTAGTGTATCCAATATTTATCAATATAGTTTGTGTACAACCCTCCTAGCTTTTTCTCCAGTGTATCAAACATTCATCCAACGGTCTCTGCAGTGTATCTACAATTCACTAAATTATATCTCTAGTGTATCCAGCAATCATCCAACTGTAATACAATTGCGCAGCAATTCAACATAATGATCTCTATAGTATATCCAATATTCACTCCACAATCTCTATAGTTATCTTCCATTTACCGAGCTATATCTTAAGTGTGCATCCATCATCCTACGGTCCCTGTAATGTTTCATCATCTAACATTAATGATGGTGTCTCTCATGTGTCCAATATTCATACAACAATCTGTGTAGTCTATCTCTGTAGAATATCCAACATTCTCCCAATGGTCTCTGTAGCTGTTACAGTTAATGTGTGTAATCAGCATTTCAAGTATTTTCTCAATTTTATGAAATGTATGAAATTTCTGCTCAGCTTATGGAATATGTGAATTTTACATTGTTTCAGGTGAAAATACATGACATGTACTTTCCGAACTTTTTAGTACTTTTAACACGTATTAACTGACAGTTTTAGTGAGATAATTTAAATTATGAAACAAAAATATATAATACTAAAAATCGGTTGCTAAGTATATGGGTTTTTTTATTTTTGTTATTGTTAAATGACTGTATAAAATCAGATTAGTCAGTTATGATTTTATGATAAACAATCACAATAAAATAAAGGTTGCTATGACTGTAAATTTAATAAAAAGGGGCGACTTGAAAATAATATTTAAGATATTAACAGATTTGAAGTCTTTGAAATGGAGACATTGAAATTAATTAAGAAAAGATATATATGAGAAAGATAAAATTCTTTCACAGAGAAGAAATTGTCAATTTGAACTTAGTCGATACTCGAAAGCATTCTCTAGGTACGATCATTTTTTTAACAGAGGCAGGCTACTAACAGATAAGTTGATGTTAAAGGGATTTCAACAATCTCGTATAAAGTCTGCGTTTCGTAAATTCTATAATGGCCTTGTTGGCAAATAACATATCATTGGGTCCTATTGTGGCCAACGTGTTTCATACCAATTGTAATGCTTTTGTTTTTATACTTAATTTGACTACGGAATGTTCCATCTACCTGATAATACATAGGTCTCACGGCGAATTTGACCGATCAACAGGGGATGCTTACTCCTCCAAGGCACCTGATCCCACCTCTGGAGGCGTCCTGTGCCCTGTTCAGGTATTTGTATTGTTTGTATATTTTTTTAGATTGATCACTGTGCAGTTTGTTCATCATCATTCGTCAAACGGTATCCACACCACAATTTGTATAGTGTATCGACAATTCACGCAATGGTCTTTATTGTATGCAATATTTTCTCAATGGTCTCTAGTGTATGCAATATTTACCCAATGGTCTCTGTAGTTTTTCCACCATCCAACCAACAAACATTCTCTTTATTGTGTCCTCATTCACCTAACGGTATCTCCACAATTAAGACTAATGTTTTCTGTTGTGTGTCCACAAATTACACATCTATCTCTGTAGCGTATCAACAATTCACTTAACAGTCCTTTAAGTATGAATTAGTAAACTCAACTTATTTACCGTTGCCCCCTTTAATACTGCCTTTCTGACAGGTCCCCTTTCCCATTAAAACTGCTTCCTAAAGATCTGGTCTGACATATCAAGTCTTTCAAAGGAAGGTGGTGTTGTGTTGTTCTCTATGAAATTAAAGTACCGAGGTACAAAGTTTAGAAAAATCTTTAGGGCCGAAATAAAGTCTAGTGTCATTGAATGTATGATATATATTACAGATATACCAATTCATCATTATCACATTTTAGGCTTAATTATTCTTATTTATCTTTGTTGTGAGGTAAATCGCACACATTTCAACTGAAATAACGGAGTCAGTGTTTACATACAATGCATCATTTATGGTCGATTTATTTTTATGAATTTTATTTGCGGGGATTTTCTAGATTTTTTTTTTTTTTTTTTTTTTTTTTTTGGTTTTATTCGATTATGGTTTTGAAGCATTTTAGAAACACATCATTTAATTAAGATTTGATTGTTTTCCTTCGGGTTGTTCATTAGAAAAATGTTTAATGTTAATGAACATTAAACGCTTAATGTTAATGAGAGGAAAATCCCCCCCCCCTCTCTCTCTCTCTCGTAACCCATAGCACTCTGTAAATAATTATGTTAAACTGGATAGTGGCCAATCAATTTGAGCCATTTGATCTAGGATCATAGACTGGGGAAGAAAAGCAGCCAGAGTTAGAATGATCACAGTTGAATATATGTCGATTTTGTCAATAAACCAATTGGTGAAATATTGAGCAAGAACATATTTGAATTAGGAAGTGTTATTTTGACAAGTCTTTTTCCCCATATGATCAAAGAAGACATAAATATCAAATATTTGTGATTGTTTCGATCAAAATCTGGTAATTTTAGGAATCAACATTATACATAAAAGAAACAGTTTTTCTTTAAAATCGGAAAAGACTCCAAATATTGGAACAATCTGATTTATTCAAAGCTACTTCATAACATAACGTTAAAATGTTTGCCATTGTGGTACAGTGGTTATAAAGTTGAGGTTTATGGAGTCAATCCTAACATTGCGAGTTCAAATCCCTTTGTTGGATGTAGAAACCCACTTTTCGCTTGACATCGCATTAACAGATGTCTCATGTTACAGGAAATGCTGTCAGAAAAAATCCTTTTCTAACCAGTGACCATAAAAGCCAAGCAGAGGTCCAATTTTCAGCCTCCAATGGTGAAAAATTCTCAAAGGGACGTAAGGCAAACATACAAACGGTAACGGATTACAATCAAGTGAACTGTTTTAAAACGGCATCATTTTTAATATATGTACATATCAAATTTAAAGCAGAGGTGTTTTTTTTTTCTTTTTGTCTCTGAAATTATATTATCTACCATATAATTTTTATACTTATTTTTTTCTTCAAAATTATTCAACAATCTTATATAATTTTGTTAAACAAATAAACTTACCTAAAAGAAATAGAAATCTCTTGAAGACGTGCACAGATAATAAAATAGAAAACGGAAATGTAAAGTCTTAATTGAGTACTCTAATCTTATAAATGTAGACACAATCCCCCATAATCCATCATGTGTTTGTTTCATAAAGAGACGCCATGCCCCACTGACTCCAGAAAATTCTTGTCATGGAGCCTGCTTTTGTAAAGAATAGCTCCTAAAGAAAACTGTTACCAATTCAATTACATGTAAAATGTAGACACTAGGATTTGGATCACTAGAACAAAGACTATCACACACAGTTTCTGACAGGAAGATTATGTATCTTGATACATGTATATATTGGTAGGTCTATGCACATGTATATAAGTCCGACCTATAATTTAAAAAAAAACACAGGCCTATCGGATGCAAACATATTATGTCCGCTTTCGCACGATGAAGATTCTTCAATGATTTTGACTTATATAAATCTGGCATATGCATAAAAACTTGTGACTTTTCAAGTTACAACTTTTCAACTGTTTCCCAAGATAAATTATAGGCCAGACTTTCTGACATCGTTGACAGCTGCTTTTTCAATAAAAATGGAACTCGTAAATTTACTTTCCTTGTCATTGGTCATTTGCAAAATTACTTTGTTAAAAAAACAATCTGATTGTACACACAAGTACTCTGAAGTTGATATTAAAAAGATGCTCGAGTTTCTGATTGACAATATCTACGTGGTTTATGGAGACCAGGTCTTCCAACAATCTATTGGAATTCCCATGGGTACCAATTGCGCCCCGTTATTAGCAGACCTATTTTTGTATTCATATGAAGCAGAATTTGTTCAAAATCTTTTACGTGAAAAGAAGAAAACACTTGCCCTGGCCTTCAGCTCGACAATTAGATATATCGACGACGTATTGTCAATTAACAATGGTTATTTCCATTCTTATGTCGACACGATATATCCCGGTGAGCTTGAGATAAAAGATTCCACAAAGTCTGACTCATGTTTCATATTTGGATATTTTATTAGAAAAAGACGTTAATGGTAATCTAACAACCAAACTTTATGATAAACATGATGACTAACTTTTCAATCATCAACTTCCCTTAATTACTTATGCACCTGCATACGGGGTTTATATATCTCAGTTGATTCGACACTCCATAACATGCTCTACGTATGAACAATTTCTAAAACGAGGTAAGTTATTGACAAACAAGTAGATGAAACAAAAATATCAGCTGTCTCGTTTAAAGTCATTAATTCGTAAGTTCTATGGTCGGTACAATGACCTTGTCAGCAAATACAATCTTTTATCAAGTCAAATGCTGACTGACTTTTATCATACTAATTGTTAGGCCATTATTTACACACTAATTTGTCTACGGATTTTTCCGTTATTTCCTGATCATGACAAGGAGCACACGGCGGGTTTGACCGGTCGGCAGGGGATGCTCACTCTTCCATGGCACCTGATCCCACCTCTGATGTTTTAGAGGTCCGAATACTCGAATACTGTTTATTATCTCAACATATTTCATTAGACACTGTTGGTCATAGTATTTGTCCATCAAGATCTCTAAAATAAGGTAAGAAACCTAGTGATATAACTGCATTAAGATATTTGGGACATACTAAATACTAAATTAGAAATATACAAAATATGAAAAAAAATGAATGACGAGTATTTTTTTTTCAAATGAGTTTTCCTAGAAATATGGGGAGGGGGGTTAAAAGAAATGCCGTTAGACTTACGTTTTACAGGGGTTTCCTAGCCAAAAAATAATACTTTACTATAGTACCAAAGTTTTTACCGTTCACGGTAGCTCAGTCGGTAGAGCGCTCGCTCCGTGATCGGGAGGTTGTGAGTTCGAATCTCGGCCGCGACAGACCTAAGTCGATAAAAAATGGGTGGTAACTGTTCCTTCGCCATGCGCTCGGCACCTTGAAGTGAAAGTTTCGGGTCCTTTCAGATGAGACCTTAAAAAAAAGAGGTCCCGTGTCACAGCAGGCGTTGGCACATAAAGATACCTCACTACTCAATAACCCTGAGTGCCGAGGAAAAGTCAAAATTAGAAGCCCTTCACCGGTATATGGTGACGTCTCCATATGAGTGAAAAATTCTCGAATGGGACGTAAAACAATATACAATAAATCAATCAATCAACCAAAGTTTTTACTATAGTAAATCAAAGTATTTTTACTATGGATTTCAGATTGTTATATTTTATATCCTCCAATTCATACATGTATATTTCTTATATTAAATGGAACTGTTGCTTGTATATTCACATATTATTTCCAAATTTTACATCACCGTTAACGAATTTAAAAGATTTTAAGCTTTGAAATCACAAAAAAGAGCTCTAGGGTAAAGTTCCATAGTAAAATTAAGTAGCAAAGTATTTACTATAATAGTAAACTATAGTTAACTATAGTAAATTTTTGTTAGGGGTAAATTTACAATAAAGGTTCGTCAAAAATTCAGGAGTAAAATTAACATTAATGGGTCGTCAGAAAAAGAGTAAAATCTAAATGATCGTTATAATTACAGGCGAAAAATCTACAAGAAGGATCGCCCGAGTTACTTGTGAAATTTACAATACAAGTTTAATGAAACACAAGATAAAATTTACAATAAAGAGTCGTGTCAATTATAGGAGTGAAATTGACAATGAAGGATCGTCAGAAAATTGTCAAGAAGAGCCGTCTGACATACAAGAGTAAATGGATAAGCTAGAAGCGTCGTTAAAAATACAGGGTAAAATCTAAATCAGGTGTCTTTAGAAATACAGGAGTAAAATTTACAAGAAGCATTTTTCTTGAATTACTTTGGTAGATTTTGATCTTGTGGAGGCCTTTTCAGACTTCTTCATGAGCAAGGTGGTTAAGATACGAGAAGGACTCCAACAAAACCAAGCAGATCAGTCAGACCCCCTTAGAGTAGATGTGAAATTCACTGGAGAACACTTAACTGCCTTTGATTTAACGACTGTAGATGAAGTTGAGTCAATCATCAAAAAGTCGACAACAAATTTTTGTGAGTTGGATCAGCTCCCAACTTATCTGACAAAACAATGCTTGGAGCCACTTCTTCCTAATATAACATCAATGATAAACGCATCACTCTCAGAATATGCAGTTCCCTCTAGTTTCAGGAAGGCATGCATTACGCCCTTGCTCAAGAAACCAGGATTAGATAAGGAAATCCTTTCAAACTACAGACCTGTCAGCAATCATCAATCATGACCTGTCAGCATTTCATCTCTAAAATACTTGAAAAGGTAGTTGCTTAGAGACTAGACAACCATCTAAACTTAAACTGCCTTAGTGACACAATGCAGTCAGCGTACAGAAAACATCATTCTACAGAAACTGCTTTGTTTAAAGTGCATTAGATAGTGGTTCATCTGTTGTCCTTGTGCTCCTCAACCTGTCAGCTGCATTTGATGTCATTGACCATCGTATCCTATTGGATAGGCTCAATGTAGCTTATTGAATAACAGGTGGAGCCTTACAGTGGATTTAATCTTACTTAGAAAATCGACCCCAATCTGTGTCAATTAACTCTCTCAAATCCACCGAGCGAGTTCTTCCATTTGGTGTCCCTCAAGAGTCTGTTCTTTGGCCTTAACTCTACTGTTTGTTTTCCAAACCTATTGGGGCTATATGTCGACAACATGGAATGAACTACCACTGTTATGCAGACGACTCGTACATTTACCTCGTTTTAAGAACATTGGAAGGGTGGAATAACTATTTTTCAAGATTAGAAGCGTGTATAGCAGATATAAGTTCATGGATGGCTACGAACCTGTTGAAACTTAACCAGGACAAAGCGGAGCTAATTATCTTCTCTTCCAAACACAACGCAGCAAACATTCCACTACACCATCTTAAAGCTGGAGAATACAACTTTTCTGTTGCATCGCTTGTCAAGAACCTTGGTGTTTAGTTCGATTCTAATCTGACATTTGAGAGTCATGTGTCGTCTATCGTGAAGACATGTTACTTTCATTTCAGTAATATTGGACGAATTCGCCATCTCATAACAACAGATGCATGTAAGACTCTTGTCAATGCACTACTTACATCGAGGCTCGATTATGGCGACTCTCTTCTGTTAGGAATCAACAGGACCCTTGGACTGCTTACATCAAAGCGGAATCACATTTCCCCATTCTTGCTGAGCTCCACTGGCTTCGGTCCAGTATAGACCACAATTTAAGATACTGGTGCTTACCTACTGCACCCTGTTTGTATGTGCTCCTTCATATCTACAAGAACTTATTGAAGTTTATAAGCCAGCTCGATCACTAAGATCGGAAATATCAATAAGACTTGTAGAACCAAAAGTTCGAACTAAGACTTTTGGAGAACGGACTTTTAGTTGGTCTGCCGCCAGTCTATGGCCGGAATGAACTTTCAACATGCATAAAATGGGCTCAAGGTGTGGATGTTTTTGTTTTTTTTTTTAAATGCTTAAAACACACTTTTTAAGATTGCTTTTCCTGAGTTTTAAACCCTTATAATTTTTATTTTTTTTTAAATGTCTCAAATGCAGATATATAATTTTCCTATTTAATTTAATTTTTCTTTTTCTTGCATGTTTCTCCATTTTTATGCATCTATCATTTTCTTTTTCTTTTTAAAGCTTTAATTACTATCATGTACATTTATTTTACTACAATCTTATTGTTAAGCGCCTTAGAGTAATTTTTATTAAATAGGGTGCTCTAGATCTACAAATGTTTTATTTATTTATTTATTAATATTATTATTATTGAATTATAGGAGTAAAATTCACAGATCGTCGTAAATCTTTTCCCACAAACTGCTGGCTTCCTATGACGGACTTCCTTTTCCGGAATATTTTGATACATTTCTATGCTATTCTCAATCATTAAATAATTACTCTTTTTCTTATCCATCAACCTGACGATTCCGGGCCCTTATTAAATGTCTTCACTATCTACTGAACTGAATTTATTGGACTGAATCATGAATCTATTTCTTGGACTGAATTATGATATATTATAAACTGCTTCATTCAGTTGTTCTGTTTTGAATTATTCTTTACAGAGTCCCTTAATTCAGTGACCTAATTATATAATGATCTATTTACTGTTGGAGAAGTTTCTCGCAGTATCGACAAAAAAGATTAACGAAAAAGCATTATTAGTACTAAACTAGGTCACCATAGAGAAATAATGAATGTGTAATTTTTTTGTATTAAAAACGATGCGAGACTTTGTTTCCTCTTTGAATATTTAATCCGTCCAGTGTATTTTTATGTTTTCTTTCCTGATACTACATTGTATATCTGTCCAGTGTATTTTTATGTTTTCTTTCCTGATACTACATTGTATATCTGTCCTGATACTACATTGTATATCTGACCAGTGTATTTTTATGTTTTCTTTCCTGATACTACATTGTATATCTGACCAGTGTATTTTTATGTTTTCTTTCCTGATACTACATTGTATATCTGTCCTGATACTACATTGTATATCTGTCCAGTGTATTTTTATGTTTTCTTTCCTGATACTACATTGTATATCTGTCCTGATACTACATTGTATATCTGACCAGTGTATTTTTATGTTTTCTTTCCTGATACTACATTGTATATCTGTCCAGTGTATTTTTATGTTTTCTTTCCTGATACTACATTGTATATCTGTCCCGTGTATTTTTATGTTTTCTTTCCTGATACTACATTGTATATCCGTCCAGTGTATTTTTTTATGTTTTCTTTCCTGATACTACATTGTATATCTGTCCAGTGTATTTTTTTATGTTTTCTTTCCTGATACTACATTGTATATCTGTCCAGTGTATTTTTATGTTTTCTCTCCTGATACTACATTGTATATCTGTCCAGTGTATTTTTTTATGTTTTCTTTCCTGATACTACATTGTATATCTGTCCAGTGTATTTTTTTATGTTTTCTTTCCTGATACTACATTGTATATCTGTCCAGTGTATTTTTATGTTTTCTTTCCTGATACTACATTGTATATCTGTCCAGTGTATTTTTATGTTTTCTCTCCTGATACTACATTGTATATCTGTCCAGTGTATTTTTTTATGTTTTCTTTCCTGATACTACATTGTATATCTGTCCAGTGTATTTTTTTCTGTTTTCTTTCCTGATACTACATTGTATATCTGTCCAGTGTATTTTTGTATTTTTTATTTCCTGATACTACATTGTATATCTGTCCAGTGTATGTTTTCTCTCCTGATACTACATTGTATATCTGACCAGTGTATTTTTTTTATGTTTTCTTTCCTGATACTGCATTGTATATCTGTCCAGTGTATTTTTATGTTTTCTTTCCTGATACTACATTGTATATCTGACCAGTGTATTTTTTTATGTTTTCTCTCCTGATACTACATTGTATATCTGTCCAGTGTATTTTTATGTTTTCTTTCCTGATACTACATTGTATATCTGTCCAGTGTATTTTTTTATGTTTTCTCTCCTGATACTACATTGTATATCTGTCCAGTGTATTTTTATGTTTTCTTTCCTGATACTACATTGTATATCTGTCCAGTGTATTTTTTTATGTTTTCTCTCCTGATACTACATTGTATATCTGTCCAGTGTATTTTTTTATGTTTTCTTTCCTGATACTACATTGTATATCTGTCCAGTGTATTTTTTTCTGTTTTCTTTCCTGATACTACATTGTATATCTGTCCAGTGTATGTTTTCTTTCCTGATACTACATTGTATATCTGTCCAGTGTATTTTTATCTTTTCTTTCCTGATACTACATTGTATATCTGTCCAGTGTATTTTTATGTTTTCTTTCCTGATACTACATTGTATATCTGTCCAGTGTATTTTTTTATGTTTTCTTTCCTGATACTACATTGTATATCAGGACGAGGCTTAACATGACGATGCTATACGTGGTTTAACGCGTGGTTCGTAATATTTCAAAAAAAGAAAAAAAAATTCCAGTTCTGATAAATGTTTTCGTAATATTGCCAAATATGATTTGCGGATTTTTTTTTTCTATTTTAATAGAATGTTTAAAAAAAATCATCCAAAGATCAAAGCAGTCTGCATATTTTGTTTTGCAGGTCAAACTGTTTATATTCATTATTTGCCACGTGTATTCTATAATTGTCCACTTGTATTGTTGCATCAGCACTTGTATTTGTTTTTTGTTTGTTTTTTTAACGTCCCTCTCAAGAATGTTTCACTCATAGGGACCATTTTTATTTTGTATTTTTTTTTAATTTTCATCTTAGAAAACGTACAATATCTATATATCTATGTATAAATTTTCAAAATATCTCCTATTTTTATTTTATAATTTTCCATTTATATTTTGAAAATTTATACACAGATATTGAATGGTTTCTATTTTTTATTCTACGTGCATTTTTGTCCATTGGTAATTTATTATTTTTTTATACGAAATGTTTCAGCTTGCGTTGTATGTGAATTCCATTTGAATTTACAATCGATTTAAAATAAAAGATTTAAGGATACAAACTGTGTTATAAACAAAAATTAAAGAACATGAATATTGATACAAATGGTTAAATATAACGAGAAAATTAAATCAATTTGACACGCCTTACTCGATTTAAAAGATTATCAAATTTGATTGCGAAATACATTTAAATCCCTAATAGCTAAAAATTTTCTTCTTATACATCATTTATAAAATTGCTATCCCGACCTCATGAATATAAATATTATTGATATCTAAGTATAAGACGTCTTTAGGCAATCCCAATGTCGTTTAACTTAATAGGGGTTAATAAAGTAGTTGAAAGTGAGCGAGAGGTAAACAGCATAAATATACTTCAATCAGTATTGTACTTTAAGTAAATAGACGAAAAATAAACCACAATCCTCCCAATAAATTTCTCTTCTACAAAATACTGTTTATTAATGTTAAACAAATATTTATAAGTATACACTATCTGACTATTGTTAAACCTGATAACAAACTAATAACACTTTTCTCTATATTGAAAATATTTTTTCCTTATTACCAATGAATGCGATCTTGAAACAAACATTTTTTTTTGCATAGAAATATTCTAATAATATTTTGTCAGATCAAAATATTTTGTCAGATCAAAATACGACTAGACTATACATCACTGGAAAGATCAATCATTTGTAGTTATTGATCAAACACGATTCTGGATTCTTAAAATCTTATTTCCAAAGTTTTTACTTAAGGACACTTGCTCAAAGTTATTTTTTCCAAAACATCATAAAATACCTCAATCAATGTTTATATGTACAGTACATGTAGAGAAAACGAAAACTCTTAGCCACAAAAAAGTTCAATAATTCATTTAAGTTTTCTGATTAATGTCCCATTACTGATAAGAAATTGTGTAGATTTATAAAGGTCATGTATTAAGTATTTTTTGCATCACTTAGAATATCACCATTACAAACATCGAACTAATAAACAATCTTTTCTGTACCAGTCCAGTCCCTAAGTGGTCTAACTCTCCATGTACATACAATATATCGAGTATCCTGTGATTTGCTTATGGGCATCTCGGAAAAGTCATAACTTCAAGGTTTTAAAAATTACTTCTCACTTCAAGTTCAGTCTAAAGCCCAAAGCACTTATGTATGTAGTTCGGACGGTCTATTTCATCTTAGAGAAGTTTTGTGTTAATAATAACATCATTTTCTTGGCTCAAATAGAAAAAAAAGTTATAAAAATTGTTATTTATGTCTTTGAAGCGCCAACTTTAAGCTCGAATGACAAAATTTACTTGGCTTGTCAGTCAAGTAAAAAACAAAAGTTCTTGATATGAATGTAGGTCATCCACCAGTACTTCCATTTACCAATAATCTTATTCCAGTAAATTACATGGTTTGATAACGATAACAATGAATATCCACCATCAAAATAATTTCCTATAATGCTTAGTTTTTGTGAAATTGTAAATTGTGGCAGCCCTGTGTTTTTGTTTCCTTTTATTGTTGAAATTTATCCAAGCAATATCTATAGAAACCGTTCTATAGAATTTGTAGCCAAATTTAGCTTGTGATTAAATACCCATGTATAACACTGTATATTAATTAAGGGATATATTGGACTTCAGGGTCTTTTGTTTAGAACTCCTTTTCCCTATATGACTACTCTCACGCTTCAGTTTTGTGTGTGGTAAAAGAAGTGGGGATTCTGTGTACAAATGCAAGAAAATTTGGAGATAACATACCTTAGACTAAGGCTGTATTTTTAAAAATGTATTCTTCTTTAATAAAATCGTTTAGACATTCTGAAGTGGTTTAACATTTATTACTCTCTCTCTCTCTCTCTCTCTCTCTCTCTCCCTCTCTCTCTCAAAAAACGAATGTAACAAGATTAGTACTCAAGTAGGTCAGAGACTAGAATAAATTTATTATTATTCATTAAATGACTAAAAATAGATTAATTTACAATGAACTCTAACGAAGATTAATGAATCTTTTCCCTCTGGAATGTCCCAACAAAATCCAACAGTACGCTGCTTTACAGATCATCATAAATGATGGATGGATCTTCACTGATTAGGACGCAAATCGGAACCTTTATTCAAAATTAGGTCATCTCAGGTAAAATAGGTGTTTTTTTCATTTTATCATTTGAACCACACAAACAATTAAACATTTTAAGTTTTAATTGATCTCTTATCTCAGGCTTACTTAATTATTCCTTTGTCTCTACATGTAAATTAGTAATATTCGTCAGTTCTATCACTAAGGAAGAAAATGTTGGTCTGTTGGCTGGCTTCATTTTCCAACATGATTTCATAATATCATAAAACCTGCAAAAAATAGTTAAAAAATTAAAAAACAAAAATCTCCGATTCTTGTTTTCGGAAATTTTTCTTAGTTTTGAAAACTATTTTTCACGACATATACTTAACACTACAACAGTATATGGAAAAGAAACTGATAAGTGCTAAATGTAATGATCAGCGCTGCCTCTCTCGGTTAAAAATATATATTTTTCAGTGTGAAATATTCCAGGGAAAAGTTTTCATTGTAAGTTACCAGGTATTCTGTAAGATTGGAACGTAAAAACTTTATAACAAATGAAGTGGAAACAGATCAATGTACTTATGCTAAAAATTAAGGTCATACATTTATGTAAATTGTTACTCTGCGCTTTTATGCCAAAAAGATTGTAATTACAATTTTTCTCCTTTTTTTCTTTACGTTTTTGAAAATATTTTTAAAAAACATGATTTTTATGAACAAACTTCTTCATATAAGCCAAACAAAACAATATAATTAAAAAAACTTTAAATTTCTTCTCAAGAACAACAAATCCATGATTAGGTGTATCTTTATGTTGAAGATCCGTTCGAAATTACGACCCCCGGTGCTAGAGTGGAGCCATAATTTGAGATCAGATAGGAATTCATAAGAAGAATCTGTAAAATTCTTCCTCTCAAGAACAGAACAATACAGTAACAATTTTTCATATTTATGTGGAAGCATCGTCAGGTTGTATAGATTTAAACTGGCTCATATCATGACTCCCGTGGATATGGTAGGACCACAATGGACAATCAAATATAGGAGAAATCTTTGAAAATCTCCAGAAAACTTTAGCAAACCGGATAGCAGAAGGCATGATTGGTAATATTAATATGGAGTTTAGATTTCAGCTTTCCGAATTATGAACACCAGGGGTAGGGCGAGGCCACAATAAAAATCAAACTTATACTTAGGCATATATAGGAAAAATATTTTAAAATATTTTTAAGACATGAATAGTCATATAAGTATGGTAGCATTTTCAGTTAGTGTTAGGTTTTTTTTTTCTCAAATCAAGACCCCCTACCCTGCCCTTCCGGGATGGGGTGGGACCACTTTTTAATACTGAACTGATTTTTTGCTTTTTTTCTAACCAAAGTATTCAGGTGAGTGATATTCCTTTAAAGCCTGAAATACGAAAAAAATGTTCACGTTTTTGTACCTTGCATCAGCGTACATCGGCTTACGTAGGCGAAACCCTTCTTTCAGCAGGTCTATTATTTCCATGTTGTTGTAGTTTATGTAAGGGAGATCACCTATAATCAAAAAGTAATGTAAGGGAGATCACCTATAATCAAAAGGTAATGTAAGGGAGATCACCTATCAATCAAAAAGTAATGTAAGGGAGATCACTTATAAATCAAAAAGTAATGTAAGGGAGATCACCTATAATCAAAAAGTAGTATAAGGAAAATTACCTATAAATTAAAAAGGTAATGTAAGGGAGATCACTTATAAATCAAAAAGTAATGTAAGGGAGATCACCTATAAATCAAAAAGTAATGTAAGGGAGATCACCTATAAATCAAAAAGTAATGTAAGGGAGATCACCTATAAATCAAAAAGTAATGTAAGGGAGATCACCTATGATCAATAGGTAATGTAAGGGAGATCACCAATAAATCAAAAAGTAATGTGAGGGAGATCACCTATAATTCAAAAAGTAATGTAAGGGAGATTGCCTATAATTCAAAAAGTAATATAAGGGAGTTTGTCTATATATCAAAAATAAATTATTTTGTAAGTTATACGAGAGGCCCAATTGGCCTCGCTCACCTGAGCATTTTGGTTTTGGAGATAAGTAATAACCAGTTCAGTACTTAAAAGTCTAAATATATATTAAATGGTCCCGCCCTAACCCTAACTGATGATTTGAACAAACAATTTTTTCCTATATATTCCAATATAAAACTTTGATCCTTACTTGGCCCTTTCCTAACCCCAGGAGGTCATGATTTGAACAAACGTGAATCTACATCACATTAGGGTGCTTCTCTAAAAGTATAACTAATCAAAGCTTTGCTAGTCATCAAAAGATGATTTTTTACAGATAATTTCTTATATATTCATTTGCATAACTTTGATTCCCTGTTGTGACCCCACCCTACTACTGGGGGTCATGATTTGAACAAACTTGAATCTACATTACATGAAATGCTTCTTTATTAATATTACTAATCATGGCTTTGCTGTTCATGATTTTCAAAAATATTGCCTTTATTTTCCTGTGTATAATTTTGTCTCCTGTTGTGGCCTCATCCTACTCATTGTTATGATTTAAATAAACTTGAATTTACACTATGTAATGAAGCTTCCAAAAAGTCTCAACTTTTCTGGCCCAGTGGTATTTGAGCAGAAGATTTCTGAAAGATGCGATTTAATTTTCACTAATTCCTAATTATCTCCCCTTGCAAGAGGGTGTGGTCTTTCATTTAATCAACTAGAATCCCCTTTACTCAAAGATGGTTCGTGGCAAGTTTGGTTAAAATTATTCCAGTGGATCTGGAGAAGAAAATGAAAATGTAAAAAGTTAACGACGATAACAACAACAACGACGACCACAGACAATGGACATCTTTTGATTAGAAAAGCTCACTACTTGAATTGAAGGCTCAGGTGAGCTAAAAACAAATCTTTGTTCATTATGTACTTACATATTCCTTTTAAAAGAAAACAAACCAAATGAATTCAATGAGCGGTTAACTCAGTCATCTCAGGGATTTTATCTTAAAACTACGGTAAGGTGTACCTTGTTCTTAACTCAATTGAAATTGAAAGCGTAATTCCTGCATCTGCCTCTATTTCAATGCTTTTGCATATCTACTTAATTTTTTTAATTGCTCTCTTCACTGCATTTTTATCCCCAAATTTTATACGAAGTTGGGAAACTACTTTTAAAGATTTCTTGGTGGAAGCCTAAGAAAAATAATCAACTTTCAAGAAATTTATTCCATAACCTCAAAAAGCAGCTGATTCGTATTTCTAACATACACCTTTTCGCATGTGAGTTAAGGCTAGGTATAGGCGTTTCTATGCAAATGAGCTAATAAAAACGCATAAAAGATATATTTATTATTCAGAGAAACGTTTGATTTATTTTCTTGTATATACTTAGTACCCATAATATGTTATAGCCAGTATACATTATGACGTTATTGTCCTAACCTACTTAAGGGAATAAAGCACATCAACAAAACAGCTTCGGCGCAAGGGATTATCCTATTTATTTTTACATTAAAATTGTATTATGCTAAGAAGAATATTCTATAGATTAATAAAACTGCTGCACAGATCCTGGGCATTTTTTCATTTGATCGGAATTTGAGGAAACTTATACCGGACTGTAGTTTTCTACCCTGTTTCAACTTAATGACTTTACAAATAATAATTAAACAACTGAGCTGTTGATATTTGTGCAGCAATACCAGCAATTCTTGGAATATTTTGCTTCTAAATATACCTTGTTTGGGTTAAATAAAATAGAGCACGCCCTGGCGCCGAAGCTTTTTTGTTGATGTCCTTTATAATCTTGTGTAGTAAAGAACAATGATGTCATAATATGACGTCATAATGTGTACTGGCTATCTCATGTCGTGGGTACCAAGTATGTATTAGACATCAATTTTTTACTTTTTCTGTATGATAGGTATAGTCCTTAGGCATTTTAATTAGTTTATTTTGCATAGAATTGCCTATACCTAGCCTTAACTCACCTGCGTTATCCGATTTCTGTTAAAATCTAAAAACTGCCTTTAGATACTATTAGACTTTTGCGAGAAGCGCTGACTTTTACAATCGACGACTTACTTTTACACTTGGACAATATACGGCAGCTCTTTTGCGATGTAAATATTTAGCTTAACAGTTAATTCAAAGATAATAATTGGGCATTTCAACGCACATATTACGTTGTCTAGGGAGTTGAACGTGAAACACCCTATACTAAACCCCCTCCCTTCCTTCCTTGACCAACTCCTGCGAAGTTTTCCTTCCGGAATGTTTTTTCTTCCTTATTTGATTCGAATTCCCTCATAAAATGACATTGAAAGAAAATACTGCCCCTTACAAATAAGGTATTTTAAGTTATGTCATTCTACCACCCATCATCTCTTGTGTTGATTGCATACCAGTAAATCATGTAAGTGACCCTAACACCATACCTATGACCACAAGCAAGGATTTCTAATCTAATATCAATTCTGTACCTCCGTACATAATACATGTTTAAATGTCAAAGTAAGCCGTCGAGTGTAAAAGTCATTGCTTCTCGCAAAAGTCCATTAAGAACATGCAGAAAAACATAATGAAACAATGGAAATAATTTGATGGTTGCTAGCGTTGTCCACACAAAAATAAGGTAATAAAACCTCAGATATACCTAACGAAAATATTTCCCATACAGTTACCCCAAAAGACCACACATCACTTTCTGTGGAATACGTATTCATCTCAGCAAGACTCTCGGGAGCAAACCACTGGATGGGCATCCTTTCCTGTGAAAAGAAAACATCAGGACCCCGATCTACAAAAGTACTTATGACTAAGACCAAGATGTAATTTTCGGAAGGGTTTTTTTTTTTTTTTAAATAATTTGAAAATAGGTTTTGATCTGTTTAAAACATTTAGAACGATGTATTGATTGTTGCAATTGCTAACAGAATCATTTATTATGGAAGATATTTTATAATAAAGTCTTTGGTTTTAGTCGTAAGTTCTTTTATAAGATGGGCCCAACGATGACAAATACCATGCAATATGCAATCTCTATACAGAGTTACCTTTAACTGATGTTCTCTTGGAGAATAGTCTGGGTCGGTAGATTCTTTTTGAAAATACTTAACTCATTACAGTATAAGTATGATTAACAAGGGTTATTGGTTTGAGGTGGATCAAAGGAGAGAATGATCAATAAGGACTAGGTTTGAGGTTGATCAAGAGAGTATGATCAACATGGACTATATTTGAGGTGAATCAAAGGCGAATATGATTGACATGTACTATAATTGAGGTGGATCAAAGGAGAGTATGATTGACATGTACTATAATTGAGGTGGATCAAAGGAGAGTATGATTGACATGTACTATAATTGAAGTGGATCAAAGGAGAGTATGATCAACATGGCCAATATTTAAGATGGATCGAGAGAGTATGATTAACAAGGACTATATTTGAAGTGGATCAAAGGAGAGTATGATTAACAAGGTTAATGTTTGTAATGGATCAAGAGATAGCATGATTGACAAAGGCATGGGTTGAGGTGCATTAAGAAAGAGTATGATTAACGAGGGCTAGGTTTGAGGTGAATTAAAGAAGAGTATGATTAACGAGGGCTAGGTTTGAGGTAGATCAAGAAAGAGCATGATTAACGAGTGCTAGGTTTGAGGTGAATCGAGAAAGAGCATGATTAACGAGGGCTAAGTCTGAGGTAGATCAAGAAAGAGCATGATTAACGAGGGCTAGGTCTGAGGTAGATCAAGAAAGAGCATGATTAACGAGGGCTAGGTCTGAGGTAGACCAAGAAAGAGCATGATTATCGAGGGCTAGGTCTGAGGTAGATCAAGAAAGAGCATGATCAATGAGGGCCAGGTTTGAGGTAGATCAAGAAAGAGCATGATTAACGAGGGCTAGGTCTGAGGTAGATCAAGAAAGAGCATGATTAACGAGGGTTAGGTCTGAGGTAGATCAAGAAAGAGGTTTGAGGTGGATCAAAAAAGAGTATGACAAAACAAGGTAATATTGTTTTTGTTTAATAAGAAAAAGACACACTACAATAACTACAAAGTATTTAATTCATTTTTACCCTCTTCAGCTTCGGAATTGTTTTGGTTTGTTTGAATTGGCCAAGGGAACGTATTGGGACTTCAGAGCTTTTAAGAGCCATTCTCTGTAATGACTTGAAAGTCTCCGAATTTCTCCAAACTCTCCATTATAAAAGTCTTTGATACCGTAAACTCGAATCAGGCAAAAATTGGTTGCTATGTGTCATGGTTACCATAGCAACATGTCCTAATGTTTGAAAAATGGTATTTTTCAACATGTTCAGAGCCCCGCAGTTGACGTTTGCAGCAAAGCAAACAAGTGGCAATGACTGTTTCTAAAAGTTGAAGGCCTGAGGTCTTAAATGCATGATAAACATGTTTGGTAAATCAACTATTACATACGTTACTATGGAAACAAAGTATTCAAAAGTAATAATTTTGTTCATTTAATTTTATAAAGTCATACACTTAAAAATAAAAACAATTATAGGTTGAAATGCAAGCAAGTAATAGACAAGAGATCCTTGTAACATATACCAAGGACGAAATATGATATATCTTATAGGTTTGCAATGGTTGCCAATTTTTTTAATAACACAAAGGGATTCTAAATATACTTTCTTAGTGTTTTAAACTTATCCTATCTTTTTAGAAAGCATATTTCTATATAACTGATAACTGGTACGATGTTTCCATGGTTACACTGCAAAGTAACAATTAATCCCAATTTTTCATATGTTGTCGGTGTTGCAAGGTCCTACGGATGCATATGTGTCAGTCATTAATTTTATTGCTTTTCCTCAAGAAAGTAGCACAAACCCAATCCTAGCAACAGATTTTGCATTGTTACACTTTGTTACCATGGCAACCATGAAAGTTATTTTTAAAATAATATTGCCAATACCCAATTACTTAAGGTCAAATATTTTTTATTGTTTTCCTTTGGTTGTTGATTGAGTTTGATCATGTAACATCTATCAATTGTGAATATTGAGCGTTTTTCAGCATTTTTCAGCATTTAAAATGTATTCCAAATGTACCCATGGTTACCACTTACTAAGAGATAAATTCTAAATAGTTTCTTTATAGCATAAGTGGCAACAAGGTGTCATGTTTTTGAGAGAATGGTTTGTTTGTTTTTTCTTAGTCTTTATTAAGGCGTAATAAAGATTCAAAGTAGCTGAAAATCTTTTTTTTTTTCAACTTTTCTGGCTGTTACCATGGCAACCAAGACACATAGCAACAAAATTTTATTTGTATATGTTTCTGGTGTCAAGTTGTAATAATGGGCAAAGTTTCATCAAAATCGGTGACCATGCGTGGCAAAGGAGTTTAAGTGGTTACAGAGAATCGCTATTAATTAATTAAATAAATAAATAATATTTTATATAATCTTCTTGAGAAAAATTGAGAAGAGATTAATATTTTAATTTGATATTGGTTATTCAGAAAAAAAATTAAACAATTTTCAGAATGTTACCCTTTGGAAAGGATGTGAAATTTTGTCTCTATGTCTCGGTCCAAAACATCCAATCTTTGCTTGTAAGGAGTTGTTCAACAACACATTTCTAGCAGCTAGACGTTTGTGTATTATCTGTATCATCAAAGGTGTGAATTATGAATCATTTATCTATAAATATTTATTTCTGAAATGCACTGAATGCCGTCACTTAATTAGTTTTGAATCCAATTGCAAAACATGTTATGTTGACATTTAATAAATACAAATACATTTGAGTGAATATTGACCATATCAATGTACTCGTGTTATCATTGAATTTTGATATTAATACATTTAAGCTTACGTACAGGAGCCCGAGTTCGCTATCATAAAACAATTACTTTATACATGTCTTCTTCATCAATATGTTGAAAAGTAACTTGCTTTTTGTTCAGAAAGATACATCATCCCTTTGGCTATTTGGAGGGGAAAGCTAGTCATCCGTGACAGGGTATCTTCGCTCAGTGGAGCGTGACAGTCCTCAAGCCACTCTCTAACAGATCTTCGACATAGCTCAAAGAGCATACACGGTCCATCTGACAAATAACCAATATCTAATTGCTATAAATGGGAGAGATCTAGATAGTCTTAAGCCAGGGGGTACGTAAAACTAAAACCTTCTTTTAATTTAGGTGGTATGAAAACTTAGACCTACATTTTTCGTCGTCTTTTACTGCTCCAATAAATTTCACAACGTTCGAATGTTCCAGTTTTCTTGTTGAGAAGAAGCGAATCTTAGCATTCATAAGTCTATAGTCTTTCTCAGAGATCCCTTCTAAAAGAGAGAGAAGCGATATAAACATGAGATTCACAGGTTTTATCTATAACAGTCATGACAATCACACTGTCAGATAAAACAACTTGTTCATTTCCTGCAATCATATTACACGTACTTTTTTAAATTCTATGGAGATGTTTAAACAAAAAAATTGGGTGGAGAGGTGAATTTATTATTTACATATGCCTAGTATTGTTAGTAAATTGTTCACAGCTTGAACAAAGATACAAATGACTTGTTATACAATCGCCTTCATCTTCCCTCAGTATGATTTATATTCCCTACCCATGAGTCTACATTGGTTTGTTTTGTTTTGTTTTTGTTTTTCTGTTTTTGGCTTTTTGTTTTGTTTTGTTTTTTGGGTTTTTTTTTTTTTTGTTTTGTTTTGTTTTGGGTTTTTTTTTTTTTTTTTGTTTTTTTTTTTGGTTTTGTTTTGGTTTTTTTTTAATAAAAGAAAATAATTCGTAAATCAGCATTGATTAGAATGCCAAACAATTTAACCAAATATATACGAAAGTTACACATGCCCATATTTGAATATATCCCTAAGGATGTAAAAGGGAATTTTTATTCTTATTTATTGAAGAGAATTTTTTTTATCAAGTTATTTATAAAAAGGAACTTATAAAAATTTAGATACCGGACCCAAATTTTTTTTCTTTAAGTATGACACAAAAAGATACTTCTTAGTAAAGAAAATGTGAAAATAAAGAGCAGTGATCCATCTCTACAAACCCTACCAACATTACAAATCTGTGAACAGGGCATAAAACACAGACTCCCGGAAACTGAAGAGGTGGCTGGCGTGTATACATGTACAAATATTGTTACTCATTTTTTACTTGCCTTGAAGCATTTTCAGAGCCACAATCTTTGATTCTCCCTCATCCACAACTTTAGCTTTGAAGACGCGGACCGTTCTTCCTATCTTAATGAGCTGACCTATTTTGACGTCTTTCATTGACACTTCACTCTGCACTAGTCTCTTTATGATTGACATAGGATCCATATTGATTTGTCCCAGTGTTCCCCACTGTAAAAAAACAGTCAATCTGTCTAATAAGCTATCTATCTATGAACCTGTCTTTCTTTCTGATTTTTTGTTTGTTGGTTCAGGATATCTTTAACTACAGCATGACATAGTACGAGAGTACTCTTAAAGCTGTCAGAGTTTTAAAATATACATGTACAATGCTAGTTTTTGCTTAGGATTGTACTTCATGGTGTTTTGTAGTTCAGAAATGCGTTTTACAAACAAGTTGTAAGGTGCATTTCAAAAAAAAAAATTGTCAACCTATTCCCCCACAACACACCCTCTCCTTCCCCATATACTATACACACAAACAAAAGAAATCTTAAAAACAATAGAAATAAAATAAACAATAGAAAAAGGAAAATAACATATAAAAATTCTTTAAACTTTGGGTTTGATACAGTACCTCTATTTATAGTTTAATTTATAAATTATTCTGCATACAGAGTTGTTTTACCTGAACTTGGGGCTCTTTATCATTGTCAATTTCAAACATGGAGTCATTCGCAATAATTTTTATGGTTTCTCTCCACAGGCAAAATTTCTTCCCGATATACAGCAATGGCAAAAACAATATAAAACAAACAACTGAAACGAGATTTCGTTTAAAAAATAATGCACAGGTACATTTATTTGAAATTAGTTGTCCAATTTACAAAAAATACGTGTTTGATGATTGAATGATTCATTCTTTTACATGTTATCTATATATTTTGTCATAAAGATCAGTTAAATTCAAGTTGCATAAAGCGGTTTGGATTACTTTAAAATGTAAATATTTTGTGCCAATTAAAAAGTGTCGTACTCGAACATACCTATAGCAATACCAAATTGTTCTGTTGGTGTTATTTTATCGTCAGTGTCTGTTGATTGAGAGAAAACATTATACATATAGATATCTAGCTAAGCATCTTTGTAAATACAACCGTTTAGTGAATTATGAAGTTTGCGAAATTACAAAAGTGATGCACTGACACGTCACGGAATGGCTTTTCTTACATGTACTTAACGCTTACTGATGGTGTTAGTATAGAATATTTTATAGATATAATTTTTGGATCATTTAAAGGTATACATGTCATGAATTTAATCACTCTCTCGATTCAATGCTTGGAAACTGTACAGACAAAGACTAAGGTAAAGATAACGAAAAGTGATGTATCTTTAAAAAAAATCTACAAACAATACAAATCTGTGAACAGGGCATAAAACACAAAAATCTACAAACAATACAAATCTATAAACAGGGCATAAAACACAAAAATCTACAAACAATACAAATCTGTGAACAGGGCATAAAACACAAAAATCTACAAACAATACAAATCTGCGAACAGGGCATAAAATATAAAAATCTACATACAATACAAATCTGTGAACAGGGCATAAAACACAAAAATCTACAAACAATACAAATCTGTGAACAGGGCATAAAACACAAAAATCTACAAACAAATCTGTGAACAGGGCATAAAACACAAAAATCTACAAACAATACAAATCTGTGAACAGGGCATAAAATATAAAAATCTACAAACAATACAAATCTGTGAACAGGGCATAAAATATAAAAATCTACAAACAATACAAATCTGTGAACAGGGCATAAAATATAAAAATCTACAAACAATACAAATCTGCGAACAGGGCATAAAATATAAAAATCTACTTACTGTGAACAGGACATAAAACACAAAAATCTACAAACAATACAAATCTGTGAACACGGCATAGAACACAAAAATCTTCAAACAATACAAATCGGCGAACAATGCATAGAATATAAAAATCTACGAAACAATACAAATCTGTGAACAGGGCATAAAACACAAAAATCTACTTACTGTGAACAGGACATAAAACACAAAAATCTACAAACAATACAAATCTGTGAACAGGGCATAGAACACAAAAATCTACAAACAATACAAATCTGTGAACAGAGTATAAAACATGAAAAACTACAAACAATACAAATCTGTGAACAGGGCATAAAACACAAAAATCTACAAACAATACAAATCTGTGAACAGGGCATAAAACACAAAAATCTACATACGATACAAATCTGTGAACAGGGCATAAAATATAAAAATCTACAAACAATACAAATCTGTGAACAGGGCATAAAACACAAAAATCTACAAACAATACAAGTCTGTGAACAGGGCATAAAATATAAAAATCTACAAACAATACAAATCTGTGAACAGGGCATAAAATATAAAAATCTACAAACAATACTAATCTGTGAACAGGGCATAAAACACAAAAATCTACAAACAATACAAATCTGTGAACAGGGCATAAAACACAAAAATCTACAAACAATACAAATCTGTGAACAGGGCATAAAATATAAAAATCTACAAACAATACTAATCTGTGAACAGGGCATAAAACACAGAAATCTACAAACAATACAAATCTGTGAACAGGGCATAAAGCACAAAAATCTACAAACAATACAAATCTGTGAACAGGGCATAAAATATAAAAATCTACAAACAATACTAATCTGTGAACAGGGCATAAAACACAAAAATCTACAAACAATACAAATCTGTGAACAGGTCATAAAACACAAAAATCTACAAACAAATCTGTGAACAGGGCATAAAACACAAAAATCTACAAACAATACAAATCTGCGAACAGGGCATAAAATATAAAAATCTACAAACAATACAAATCTGTGAACAGGGCATAAAACACAAAAATCTACAAACAATATAAATCTGTGAACAGGGCATAAAACACGAAAATTCCAGAGATCGGATCAGGTGCATAGTGAGAGTAAGCATTCCATGTCGAACTGTCACACCCGCCGCGAGCCCTATTTTATTGATCACGTTTTTTTTAAACACGCTGTTACGCGTTGTTCTATATTTGTGTACATCTTAGTGATTTTTGACGCATTGCTAAAAAAAGTAACGATAAAAAGGACTGAATGATCATGATTTGTGATCTTTATCTTTCCGGAAATAACAGAACACAGTTATACAATAGTTATATAGACAATATTCATTTTGTCAGTCTTAAGGCAGAAACTGTTGTTTCCCTAGTACGTAGGAATAACGGCAAGAAATCTTTCATGAGGTAACATTTTCCGAGATCGATAAAGTATATATATATCATGTACTAGTTATGTTTGAAATTCAGTCTTTTCTTACTTCTAGTGATGTTGAACTGTTCCACTTCAGAGGTTGTCAACATGCTGAATATCTGGGAATTCACATCCTGAATAGAAACAGGAAAAATGTATTATATCCTGTACAACTCTTTCAACTTAAAATTGTTTTGCCATCGTTAAAAAACTAAATAAAATATACGATATATATATATATATATATATATATATATATATATATATAGCACATTTTTTACAACAACTCTTAAACTAACATAACTGCCCTAAGTGAAGAAATATTAATACAGAAAGCACAAAGAAATTCACTTTTTATAAGGATACCCACTTCCACCCCAGCCCGGGGTTGAACTCTCCACCAACGGAACCTGTCTCCTAGCAGTACAGGGACAGCGCGCTAGACCGCTCGGCTATCTAGGCAAGTCAAAAAACTTGCTTTCGATGCCGATGGAATTCTCGCGGCGCTATATATATATAGTAACTTAATGCATACATGTACAATGTTGTGATAGTGAAATATGTCATTTTTATCTTATCACGTTGTTTGACTATTTAACCTTTGGCAAAATAATTAAAAAGTACAGCTGTATCTACGTATACTGCTGCTATGGTAAACATTGTCGCTGTGAAACTCTAGAACAGAGCTAAACTCATTCATTGCTTTTCATTTCATCATTTTTCAAGATTTTCATTAAATTTTGTTCTAACAATATTTAGTTTAATAAATGCTTTCAGTACACAAGTATTTTATAGATATGGACTCAATCTATGACGTGGAATAAAACTCTGATAAATTCACTCACAATACAGCAACATGCATTACACATAAACAAATCAACATTGATATAGAAATGTTTATTACTTAATAAAACTTTACCTAAACTTCCTGCTCTGGAGAGGGTTTAGACAAAATATAAACATCATCAGATCAATTGATACAAAAATACTATTCAATTAAATGAAAATTAATTAGGCAATTTCATTAAATGTTCTTCATCACTTTCGTCGGGGGAGTTATCTTTCAACAATAATTAATTATCGATAAAATGTTTCGAGGGGATAGGGAGACCACCATCATTGATTCAATCATCTCACATTTGATGCCTCAAGCTCATACCACCGAAAATGAATCACTGGTTTTGTGTGAGTTTATTAATCCTTGTCCTTTTATGCAATGTTTCATCCAAAATTCTTTTTGACAGATACCTCGTTTTGGATTCTCCCTTTCGTAAAAGAGAACTTGATGACATGTCTGAAGACAACGTGATAACGATTTGTGAGGACATCAGTACGCTAAGTGAATGTGCTTTAAGGTCGTTGTCGAATCTAGCAACATCTTTTTTCTACCATAAGAATGAAAGGCGATGCATACTGATTAAGAATTCGAACTTTTCACATGGCGACTACATACCAGGATATCATCAATATATTTCGGATGGTAAAGGTATTAAATTTAATATTAATATGTTTCCATTGATGTCATTGCAAATATCCAAACTGTATGTAAGGGGACAAAATTTTATGCAAAAAAATAATCATGAAAATAGATACGTAATCCTCGATTATATCAGCAAAATTAATACTTATAACCAGCTAGCTTTATTTTTTTTTATTCCAATAATATCCTACAAATATTAAAAGTTGTAAGAAATTTTAAAGGGAACGGCCATAAAAAAGCAAACAAAAATAAAAAAAAGAAGAAATAAAACAGAGAAAATAAAACAACTTAGAAAATATACACATTATTATATTTTAGGTATTTTTATATTTGCGCCATTTAGAAACATAATAAGTCCAAAAATGTACACCAAACCATTAATTCAATTTTTACTTTTAGAAAAATCTCCTAAAGGTAAATTAACCAATCATAAGAGATAATTCCTTGCTTAGGCCAAGATAAATAAATAGTGCATTTCCTATTCCAACCCGAGAAAAAATAGGGTAGGTAGGTAGGGAAAACATTTTATTTCATTTTAATATTTTATTGGCAAGCACGATACCATTTTACCCCAGGGCAATTGCTGTCAAAACATTTCTGATTAATGTGTATAGGATATGCATTTTCTGAAACACAAAAGTGATCGAGATTAGGATTTCTAATAGTTAAACTGGAATAGTTTACGACTGGGAAAGATATCTGCGGATAATTTTTTTTAGGGTCGGCTCATATATTTTAGGGTCGGTCGGGGAACCGGAAACACACAATTTATTTATCTAGGCCTTACAGGACACCCTTCCTAACATAATATGGTTCCCAAAGTCCTATTTAAATTATAATTCACTTTAGTATCATTTTATTCTTTCGTAATTTATTATAAAGAATATTGAAATAAAATAAACTGTGTGCGTACTATTGTCTGGTCATTATACAAAGTTATTTTTTCAGGTTTATTTTACGTTTTATGGAAAAATATTTGTTACAAAAATAATGTTAAGTCTAAATCTTACAAGATTGGATGGTCTTTAAAATTCCACCATCATTATGATTTTACTTGTGTGTCATAATGTCTCCTTGTCTCTTTATCTTGATAAAACAAAAATGAGTTAAAAGGTTGTAATTTCTGAGTTTTATATGTATTTTAAATAATATAGGAAGCAAGTTTAAAATAACCATTATTAACATTTTTATTCATGGTGTTTTATAGAGAAAAGTCCAAAACGTTGTTATTATAAATTACTGGATAAAAGTGAAAGTTACTTCACTGAGGCAAAGGTACATGTCAATCTCTCTCTCTCCCTCTCTCTCTCTCTCTCTCTCTCTCTCTCTCTCTCTCTGGGGACAGGGAGGAGGGTTAAATTCATGTTATTATACATGCATATTGTAATGTAGAACTCTATGTGAAGCTATTAATTAAAGATGGAAAAATCTATTAAATCATAACGTCATTTTTAATTGATATGAAAAGCAAAAAAGAAAAAAAAATGTCGCATGATAGATTAAACTCTTAAATATTGAAACTTGTCGTGAATAAATTGTGATTTCCTCATTATTAATTGATGAATAATACCTGTATATGCCTTTGATTACATATATTTATTTTGAAAGCGGAAATGTGAAATCCAAGGAGGATATGTACTAAAAATAAACTCGGAACAGGAAGCAGACTTTGTGAAGGAAACGTTTCAAGGTAAAATTATTTGGCATATCATACCCAAGTCATTAAAAGTAAACAAAAAATAAAAAATACTATTTTTTCAAATATTTAAAAGAAAGGTGAACAGAGGGGAAACTGTTAAAAATATATGTATGAGTTATCTGAAATGTAATTTCATGTAATCGGATAACGAATCATTAATTTTAAAGGGGATACAGTATGTCTCCTATTTTTATGGACATTTCAATACAAAATCCTTAGAAAAATAATTGGCGTCTAATTTTACAGGTTTCACAATACTGCTCGGAGTCGAGATACAAAATATCACTTACCCGAGGAGACAACAAAGTGATTTACATAGCATTTCTTTCTAAAAATTAAATTGAAGAATTCAAGGGTCAACTGTTCATTTTTACTTTCCTTTCTGCATTCGGAAGTAAATGTAAAATGAATTTTTATTGGTTGTTTTGTATAAATTAAAATAAACACATGATAACCATACCTTCTCAAAAGTAGAATCTGTGACCTACGGGAGGTAATCCAATAGAGTAAAAAAATAAACATTACCATTAGGAAGGATAACTCTGTATCTATAGTCTGTTTCTGTATTTCCATGATACTAGTAATACTGTTGAAGGTTGGTGCCAAAAATCAGTTTCACAGGTAGCTTGTATTTTCTGATGAGGAAAACTGGTAGAAGTCATTTTAAAAATAATAAAAACATAATAATCCAGTATAGTGTAAATAAAGCAACACTGACTAATGAATCCAAAAAAAAATCACTTTGTATATTACAATAAATATGCAAATTCCAAGGAGTCGGTTGATGGTAAATGGCAAAAATTCCAATTCTTTATCCATTATGAAGTGTATGGTAAATGGCTAAAGTTCCAAGTCCAGTATGAAGTGTTTGGTAAATGGCTCAAATTCCATGTCTTTATCCATTATGAAGTGTATGGTAAATGGCTCAAGTTCCATATCCAGTATGAAGTGTATAGTAAATGGCTCAATTTCCATGTCTTTATCCAGTATGAAGTGTATGGTAAATGGCTCAAATTCCATGTCTTTATCCAGTATGAAGTGTATGGTAAATGGCTCAAGTTCCATGTCTTTATCCAGTATGAAGTGTATGGTAAATGGCTCAAGTTCCATATCCAGTATGAAGTGTATGGTAAATGGCTCAAGTTCCATGTCTTTATCCAGTATGAAGTGTATGGTAAATGGCTCAAGTTCCATATCCAGTATGAAGTGTATGGTAAATGGCTCAAATTCCATGTCTTTATCCAGTATGAAGTGTATGGTAAATGGCTCAAGTTCCATATCCAGTATGAATTTACGTGTTCATGATTCCATAGCATTTCATGTAGAAATTTGTAAATCCCTTCAACAGAGAGGTGACTTTCACATCTGCAACATATCTATTTAAGGTATTTATGAAAAGGTTAAAATTATATTACATGGGATTCTGATATATTGTTTGCCTTAAAGGACTATATATTACAAGTAATTTTTAAAATTATGCAAACATTAAGATCAGTATAGTGCGGAGAAGCCCGCGCTGACTGATTCTGACCAAGAACTTTAAAAGATTTAATTTATTAATTTGCATATGTTAAGAACTGTAAGAAAGAAATGAACATTTCAAGAAGTTGTTTGATGGTAAATGGCACAAAACCCCAGCTGTCTTTATCCAGTAAGAATGTTTCTGATTGTGTAAAATTTGTAAACTTCTGAAATCTGTAAATCCTTAAATTTGAGAGCTGAATATTACAAAAAAAATTTCTGAAGTGCAACATCTTTTAGGAAGAGCTGTAAACTGCATGTATATGGAATTACGCTTGTAGAATGCTTTGACAAGGAAGTAGTACAAGAAATAATATATAAAGTTGATGCGAACAATAAGATTCAGTATAGTGCGGAAAAACCCGCGCTGACTGATTTTGTTCACAACAATTTACTAACACTGTCCAAAGCTTATGTCACTTGGTAGGAAAGAATAATATTGTAAAAAATGATGCAGATTCCAAGATGATAAATATGGTACATGTAAATGGCAGAAAATCAATGTTTTTATCCAGTAATGAAGTGTTCCTGACATATTTTTATCCTTCATCAGTGCTGAATATCAGTAATCGAAAACTAAAATGCAACATCAAGTAAATGAAAGATTATAATAAAGAGCTGAGAACTATATTTATTTGGAGCTAGATTTCTATGTTGGTTTGATGAGGAAGAGATACAAGTACATGTAATAATATAACAGTTGATGCAAACAATTAGTTTCAGTATAGTGCGGAAAAACCCGCGCTGACTGATTTTGCTCACAACAACTTTGTATTAAAACATAAAAATAATTTACATTTTAAAACAAAATTATGCAAAATATAAAAAAAGTCATTTGATGTTACAGTGCCAAAAAAAAAATTTTTTATGCATAAAATAAGTTGCTGACATTTAAATTATTTGAAAATTTTAAAGATATAAGTATTATATTCCTACATATTAAAGAATTGAAAAATTGTACTCTCCTGTGTAATCTGTTTATAGTAAAGGCAACTGGCTGAATTGAAAAAGTGATGCACATTTTGATAACTATTTTTGAAAAGTGCAAAAAAAATGCAGTACATATTGTGTTAAAGATTGATATGTAATGAAATTGGATATATAGTTTAAATTGATAATCTTCTCTTTATTATGCTTAATTCTATTATACAAGGGAGTTGGAGGGGATATAGCAACACAATCGTGTGTGTTTGTTTGTGGGTGAGAGGGTTAATTCTGCGAAAACGAATTGACATAATTTGCATCAGGATTCATGTCGAATGCTGCCTCAATTTATAGTTGCAAGGGAATGCTCCGCCTTGTGGTGCCCTTCTTAATGATTGTTCTTTTCACTTCTGTATATAATGATGAAGTCAATGTTCCTTATTCTTTTAAGAAACTTAGGAGTGCTTTTAAAGATAATTAGCTTTTTGGTATAGTCTGAACCAATCCGGCTTCCGTGGCGGTACCAGGGATTAAAATCCCCGCCGGCACAGCTCCAGACTAATGACCAATTTAAGAAATTTTACAAATGTTAACAAATACAAATATTATAATAATATTCTTTCTGAAAAAAAAAGAAGGCGGTTCATTTTAGGCACTTACAGGTACAGTTCCTTTGAAACATGGAGGAGTATCTTCAGGTAGATATAAATCACAAAAAGTATATACAGGTACAGTTCCTTTGAAACATCAAGGAGTATCTTCAGGTAGGTGTAATATATAACGTATTATAGAGAGGTACAGTTCCTTTGAAACATCAAGGAGTATCTTCAGGTAGGTGTAATATATACAACGTATTACAGAGAGGTACAGTTCCTTTCAAACATCAAGGAGTATCTTCAGGTAGGTGTAATATATATAACGTATTATAGAGAGGTACAGTTCCTTTGAAACATCAAGGAGTATCTTCAGGTAGGTGTAATCTATAACGTATTATAGAGAGGTACAGTTCCTTTCAAACATCGGGGAGTATCTTCAGGTAGGTGTAATATATATAACGTATTATAGAGAGGTACAGTTCCTTTGAAACATCAAGGAGTATCTTCAGGTAGGTGTAATATATACAACGTATTACAGAGAGGTACAGTTCCTTTCAAACATCAAGGAGTATCTTCAGGTAGGTGTAATATATATAACGTATTACAGAGAGGTACAGTTCCTTTGAAACATCGGGGAGTATCTTCAGGTAGGTGTAATATATATAACGTATTATAGAGAGGTACAGTTCCTTTGAAACATCGGGGAGTGTCTTCAGGTAGGTGTAATATATAACATATTATAGAGGGAAACATTGAGGAGTATCTTCAGGTAGATGTCCTTTTAACAAATTATACACAAGTACTGTTCCTTTCAAATGAAGGAGTATCTAAAAGTTGAGTGCTGAAGTGTGTTTAAGTATATAATACATGTATTTATGATAAATTATAGACAGGTTCCATTCCTTTACAATATGAAGGAGTATCTTAAATTTAAGTGTTAGTACCCAAGGAGCTTGGACACAGCTACATTGCTGTTTTTACCATTTTAAATTTAATTTTCTTTATAGAAAAAATAAGTTCAGTGTAGTGAATTGAACTAACTTCAACATTTTAGTCCAGATGTATGACAAACAGCTACCAAAAATTCACACTTTTCATAATTTTCAAATAGAAAAAGTTTTAATAATAACATGCTTTTATAATATCTTTGAAATGCTCAAGCAACATATTACTTTAATAATAACCAAATTTTGGACAAATATAAGCTTTGATTCTGTGTGATGGTGTCCAAGCCCCGGTAATAGATGTATGTTTGGTTGGGCACTTTTCATACAGAGGGTGTTCCAATAATTCTGATACCATTTGAGAGATATATATGTTCTATCTGCTTTCATACCTGCATTATATTGACAAATTGTGTGTAAAATAGGAAGGCAAAATGTAAAATATTATGTAACATTATATGATCATTCCATAGAGCAATCTCAATGAGGTGAAGGCTGTGTAATGCAAAGAATTTATGATCATTTCAAAGAGCAATGTCAATGAGGTGAATGCTGTGTAATGCAAAGAATTTTTAAGTTACACTGATACTAATCTAAAGCAAGTTTGAACAGAAAATACTTCTGAAGAATAATTACAATTATTGATAAAACTAACTGATATATATCATAACATTTTAGTTGCGAAGTAAGACGATGACGATCAAAATATGTGTATATTATTAATGAGAAAGGCCAAAAGTGCTTGAAATTTCACCTTAATAAAGATAACGGTGGATTAGGACAAGAAGAAATTTTAAATAGAAAAGATATCTTATCCCCATAAAAATTCATAATGTTAATTCATTTTTTCTTTGCTTTAAATATACTTGGAAATTCATTATCATTACAAAGAAATGACAAAAAAAAATATTTAAATATTGCAGTATTTGTGTGCCTATCTTGTTAACTTTAACCATAAATTAAGGAAAGTGACATTAAATCCCATGTAAAAATAAATTTGTGAAAATTAAACTTTAAACCATATCAAAGCACAGGTGATAATATATGACAAAAGAAAATTATGATATAAGATGAATATTTCAAATTAGGAATAACCTAAGAAAAAAAAAACAGGAAAAAGCATTTCCTTCTACAATTCTCTTGCATGAAAAAAAAATTGCTTAAATCTTTAGAAGGACAGCTGGGCAAAACACATGTTTCTCAATGAAAAATTGTCTGCTTTCTGTTTAATTCTTTTATTCATAGGCATGTTGCTTACTTTTGTATGCCCTATGTTAAAAATAATTTTATTTTAATATGTGGTGAAAATAAATACCTAAAGTATCACACAATAACAGAAAAACAAAA